CAGTAAATTTAAGAAAATTGAAATCATATCAAGCATCTTTTCTGACCACAATGCTATGAGATTGGAAATCAATTACAGGAAAAAACTGTAAAAAATGCAAACACATGGATGCTAAACAGTGTGCTACTAAATAACCAAGAGATCACTGAAGAAATCAAAAAAATACATAGAAGCAAATGACAACGAAACATGACAACCCAAAACCTATGGGATGCAGCAAAAGCAGTTCTAAGAGGAAAGGTTATAGCAATTCAGTCTCACCTCAAGAAACAAGAAAAACCTCAAATAAACAATCTAACCCTACACTTAAAACAACTAGAGAAAGGAGAACAAAGAAAACCCAAATTCCGTAGAAGGAAAGAAATCATAAAGATCAGAGCAGAAATAAATGAAATAGAAACGAAGAAAACAATAGCAAAGATCAATAAAACTAAAAGCTGGTTCTTTGAGAAGATAAACAAAATTGATAAACCCTTAGCCAGATTCATCAAGAAAAAAAGGGAGAGGACGTAAATCAATAAAATTAGAAATGAAAATGGAGAAATCACAACTAACACTGCAGAAATACAAAGGACTATAAGAGACTATTACAAACAACTATATGCCAATAAAATGGACAACCACGAAGAAGTGGACAAATTCCTGGAAAGGTACAATTCTCCAAGACTGAACCAGGAAGAATTAGAAATATAAACAGACCTATCACAAGTAATGAAATTGAAACCATAATTAAAAACCTTCCAACAAACAAAAGTCCAGGTCCAGATGGCTTCACAGGTGAATTCTACCAAACATTTAGAGAAGAGCTAACACCTATCCTTCTCAAACTCTTCCAAAAAATTGCAGAGGGAGGAACACTCCCAAACTCATTCTACGAAGCCATCATCACCCTGATACCCAAACCAGAAAAAAGATATCACAAAAAAGAAAATCATAGACCAATATCACTGATGAACACATATGCAAAAATCCTCAACAAAATACTAGCAAACAAAATCCAACAGCACGTTAAAAGGATCATACATCATGATCAAGTGGGATTTATCCCAGGGATGCAAGGATTCTTCAAAATAGGCAAATCACTCAATGTGATACACTACATTAACAAATTAGGGAATAAAAACCATATGATCACCACAATAGATGCAGAAAAAGCTTTTGACAAAATTCAACACCCATTTATGATAAAAACTCTCCAGAAAATGGGCATAGAGGGAACCTACCTCAACATAATAAAGGCCATATATGACAAACCCACAGTGAGCATCATACTCAATGGTGAAAAACTGAAAGCATTTCTACTAGGATCAGGAAGAAGACAAGGATGTCCACTCTCACCACTCTTATTCAACATAGTTTTGGAAGTCCTAGCCAGAGCAATCATAGAAGAAAAAGAAATAAAAGGAAGACAAATTGGAAATGAAGAAGTAAAACTGTCACTGTTTGCAGATGACATGATACTATATATAGAAAATCCTACAGATGTCACTAGAAAACTAGTAGAACTAATCAGTGAGTTTGGTAAGGTTGCAGGATACAAAATTAATGCATAGAAATCCATGGCATTCCTATACACCAACAATGAAAAATCAGAAAGAGAAATTAAGGAAACACTCCCATTTACTGTTGCAACAAAAAGAATAAAATACCTAGGAATAAACCTGCCTAAGGAGGTGAAAGACTTGTACTCAGAAAACTATAGAACACTGATGAAAGAAATCAAAGATGACATATACAGATGGAGAAATATACCATGTTCTTGGATTGGAAGAATCAATATTGTGAAAATGACTATACTACCCAAAGCAATCTACAGATTCAATGCAACCCCTATCAAACTACCAATGGCATTCTTCACAGAATTAGAACAAAAAATCTTACAATTCGTATGGAAACACAAAAGACCCCGAATAGCCAAAGCAATCTTGAGAAAGAAAAACGGAGTTGGAGGAATCAGGCTCCCCAACTTCAAACTATACCACAAAGCTACAGTAATCAAGACAGAATGGTACTGGCACAAAAACAGGAATACAGATCAATGATACAGGATAGAATGCCCAGAGATAAGCCCACGCACATATGGGCACCTAATTTATGAGAAAGGAGGCAAGAACATACAATGGAGAAAAGACAGCCTCTTCAATAAGTGGTGTTGGGAAAACTGGACAGCTACATGTAAAAGAATGAAATTAGAACACTACCTAACACCATACACAAAAATAAACTCCAAATGGATTAAAGACTTAAATGTAAGACCAGACACTATAAAACTTCTAGAGGAAAACATATAAAAAACACTCTGACATAAACCACAGCAAGATCTTTTTTGACCCACCTCCTAGAGTAATGGAAATAAAAACAAAAATAAACAAATGCGACTTAATTAAACTTCAAAGCTTTTGCACAGCAAAGGAAACCATAAACAAGACCAAAAGACAACCCTCGGAATGAGAGAAAATATTTGCAAATGAAACAACAGACAAAGGATTAATCTCCAAAATATACAAGCAGCTCATGGAGCTCAATATCAAAAAAATAATCCAGTTAAAAAATGGGCGGAAGACCTAAATAGACGTTTCACCAAGGGAGACCTACAGATGGCCAAGAGGCACATGAAAAGATCCTCAACATCACTAATTATTAGAGAAATGCAAATCAAAGCTACAATGAGGTATCACCTCACGCCGGTCAGAATGGCCATTATCAAAAAAGGTAGAAACAATAAATGCTGGAAAGGGTGTGGTGAAAAGGGAACCCTCCTACACTGTTGGTGGGAATGTAAATTGATACAACCACTATGGAGAACAGTATGGAAGTTCCTTAAAAAACTAAAAATAGAACTACCATACGACCCAGCAATCCCACTACTGGGCATATAGTCTGAGAAAAGATAATTCAAAAAGAGTCATGTACCACAATGTTCATTGCAGCACTATTTACATTAGCCAGGACATGGAACCAACCTAGATGTCCATCGACAGATGAATGGATGAAGATGTGGCACATATATACAATGGAATATTACTGAGCCATAAAAAAGAGGTGAAATTGAGTTATTTGTAGTGAGGTGGATGGACTTAGAGTCTGTCATACAGAGTGAAGTAAGTCAGAAAGAGAAAAACAAATACCATATGCCAACGCACATATATGGAATCTAAAAAAAAAAAACAAAACATGGTACTGATGAACCTAGTTGCAGGGCAGGAATAAAGAGGTAGATATAGAGAATGGACTTGATGACATGGGGTGGGAGGGTGAAGCTGGGGCGAAGAGAGAGCAGCATGGACATATATACACTACCGAATGTAAAACGGTTGGTGGGAAGCAGCAGCACAGCACAGGGAGATCGGCTCTGTGCTTTGCGATGACCTAGAGGGGTGGGATGGGGAGGATGGGAGGGAGGCTCAAGAGGGAGGGGATATGGGGACATGTGTATGCACGTGGCTGATTTTCTTTGTTGTGCAACAGAAACTAACATAGTATTGTGAAGCAATTAAACTCCAATAAAGATGTATTAAAAAAAACAAACAAACTTGTATCTGGATGCCAGAGATGAGATTTGATATGAAGACAAATTTTCAAGTCACTCCTTTTCCAACAGTATAAACAATATTGAAAGAAATGAAAATAGAGTGATCTACAGTAAAAGTATGTTTATATGAGAAAAGAACCCAGAACTGAGCCCTAGGAGAAGCCATTTGAAAGAATGAAAAATATCCTTTACACACACATACACTTTATATACTTTTATCATATTAAGGAAACATCTTCCTGGCTCTAGTCTTCCACGAATTTTTATGTATCAAGTATCGATAAAGCAAAGTAATTTTATAATACTTTAAAAAACATAATTTGAAGATTAAACAGACAAGATGAAATATGCTACAAGATAAAACAAAATAAAAATTATCTTAGAATTATCTTCAGTTTTCAAATTATCCACCCTGCTGTTCCCAAGTACTAACAAGGATAATCCAAAGTTGGCCATAGGGTCTTCTGTTTTAACTTATTTAAATCTGGTTTTCAGATTTAACCACTCACATGAAAAATAAAACTTCAATTTATGAAAGTATGAAGTTGAAGTCTAAAATTCTGAATTTGGAGGGCAAATTTGAAAGTGCTATTGGCAGGTTGATTATATTAAGCTAGTGTGACTGTGTGTGTATATAGACACACACACACACACTATATATATATATATATATATATATATGGCAAATATTAGGAAGAGAAGCAGGAAGACTATGATGGTGATACTGATGACGATAAGAGTAAATATTTACTAACTGCTTATAATGTGTCATATTGGTTAAAATCAATCAGGCTTTTTCAGCCTCAGTACCATCGATATTTTGGGCCAGATGATTCTGTTGTGTGTGTGTGAGCGGGGGAGAGGGAAGCTGTCCCGTTCATCTTAGGATGTTAACTACATCCCTAACTTCTACTTATTATAATAGATGCCAGTAGCATCCACCCAATTGTGATCAAAATATGTCTCCAGACAAATACCAAATGTCCCCAGGGGAAGGGGGTAAAATCACCCCTGGCTGAGAACGACTGGTCTAAATGCTTTATATGCATCATTTCATGAAATCCTCACAATTATCCCATGAAGTAGATATCACTATCCCCCCCTTTTCAGATATTAAAGCATACAGAGGATCATTAAATTCTTGACAGTCTCATGGCCAGCAAGTGATATTTCACTGTACAAACTCAAGCATGTCTGGCTCCAGAGTCTGTATTCAATCACCACAATATATTGGAATATGTAGAAATACACCCATTAGAGAGTAGACAGAACTTCCTGTTTCTCAGAATTACTTGGAGGATGAGAAAAGAGGTGAAAATCTTTGCAATCTATGAAGTACCGTGCAAGGACCATTCTGTATATTTAATAATATTTATTACCAGCAGAACCAATAATAAACAATTTTTACTTAGAGTGCTTTTAATTCCCAGGAGAAACTGTATATCTTTTGCCTCCCTAGGAAACTTACGGTCAACAGGAACTTGTTTTTGTCGTTGGCTATCTCGCACAATACTGCCACCACTCTCACTGGAGCTGCTGTTCTGACGGGTTACATTTGCTGGGACCTTTGACACAGGAACAGGTGCTGAAGCAGAAGGTGGGAGGGGAACAGGAACAGGAGCTGGTGTTGGAGGAGGTGATGGAGCAGAGGGAATGTCAGTTGCTCTTGGACCATACTCCATCCTTTGCTTCTATAAAAAGACAAATCATTAATTCGGAATTGTGAAAATATAAACCTAGGCTAGGAAAACAAATTATACTTTGACAGGACCCTGTTGTCTATTTATTTGTAAACTTCCTTGCAAATCCATAGCAAATTTGTGTGTGTTAATATATATACATACATATATATGTATGTATAGACAGACATGCACAACCCTCCAATCCTACCTGATGTAATAATTATTAAAAATTATTTTTTAAATATTCTACACATTTGTTCACAGTCAAAAAGGATACACAAATAGCAAACATTAGTACTAATAATAGTAATAAATGTCAAGAAAACTAAATTTGAACCTGGAATCACACAAGATCAGGGTAGGTCAAAAGATTTCTGATTATTTTATAGTTTCCATTAATAAGAACTTCTAACTGCACTAGAAGCCTAAATATCAATAACAGAAAGCATTACTTACTCCTTATTTTAAATGTATATTATATACCAAAGTGTTTAATTCTGCTGTTTCCAAGTAATTTGTTAAGAAGAGGGGTAATATTTCAGTAGATAAAAGGAGTTATGCTTTAAAATAAACAAGTAATTTAAAAGTATTGTTAATTTTTTCAAGCCATATCCCTTTCTGCCATCATCTTAATGCTAATTTATTAAATTTAGAAAGTTTCCTTGTTAAAATAGGAATGTGGTGAGGGTAATGGTATGGTCTTTAATCAAATGTTTATGACTATGAAATTGTTCTATGACAATTTCAAAGAACTGGAAAAAGAATAGATACATGTATATGTATAACTGAATCACTTTGCTGTACACCTGAAACTAACACAACATTGTCAATCAACTGTACTCCAATATAAAATAAAAAGTTAATATAAATAAATAAAAACAAAAATAATGAATTGTGACCAAGTTATCTAGGTTTGACCTAGAAATAAAAAGTGATTAAAAATCAGGAAATTTGTCTACATAATACAACATGTAAATAAAGTTAAAGAGAAAAATTCTTAGAAAAAGAAAAAGTTAAGAAGATCCTGGACTTTTCATTATGTGAAACTACCTGGTATGTGCCTCCCTCTGGATTTTTTATTATGGGAATAAAGCAACCCCCTAATTACTTAAAAAATGTTTATGACTACACGTCAAAAGCATATTATTAGGAAAAAAGTCCACAGGGGGATTTGTATTAAAAAAAAGGTAGATGTGACAGAATATATAGTAACTTTCAGTAATTTTTAAACCATGATTTAGGATATTATAAAATATTATTTGTGCATCTTCCCTATTAAACTACACACAATAGTTAAAACTTTAAACAAAATAATCTTAATAACTGAAATAAAATAAGTTCCAAATTCTCAAAAGGCAAATTTTTTGTATAGAATCAAAGATACAGAGCAGTGACTTATAATTTAGGTAAAGTTTAGATACTGCACTGGCACAATTTTAATTATTCTAAAATTCAGGATTAGTAGATGAAATACAAAAAGCAGGCCTTTTGGTAATCTGGTCCTTTGGCTAGAAGAGTATTTACATTTAATTTCTAAATTGGCCCAAATATAAGGTCATATTGATGGTAAAAGAGGCCTTCCCAATTTCCACAGAGATCAAAAACGTCAAAATACACACCACACACACACATCACTTTGTACTTCTTGTTTAAAAAACAACACACCACCCTCAAAGGCACCTTCACAGCAAATGAGTAACACCTGTGGAAACCAGAGGGGGGAGCAGCCCTGGTTCTCTACTGCCTCTTTAAAAGCCACCGCTCACCTGCCAGTGGGTGGGGAAGGTGGGAGGGTATGAAACAAGGATGGGAGAAGGACTGAAAGAAGAGTTTATGTGCTGCTATTTCTTAGAGGGGGATGGGAGGGAGAAGGAGAGAGGCAAAGAGGAAGGGAATGAGTAGGGGTTAAATTCACAGAGCAAGCCATGGAGTTTGATGGGAGAGAAACAGATATTGCTGACCCCTCTGCAATTCAAGGCCTGGAAACATTTCTAATATATTCAATAATCGAGCGTATTATATTATTATTATTATCATCCACAAAACAATGTTCCTATATTTGGGCCAATAAAATAGTTTGAGCAATCAAAATACAGCAAACATCACCGAAATGTAATACTTAGCACACACCAAAGTCATCAATGTATATGCAATGTACCCTTAACAAGAATGTCCTCGGCACATAATTTCATGAAGAGTTAGTGAATTCTCACATTAGGATTTCAAAAGTGTCAGAGTTTAAATTACTGCTTTTAAAGCTTAAACAAAACAAAAAATGCTTTCAGCTCCGCATTCCATGATATGACTCACATTTTTTGCTTTCAGAAAAACAAGAACAGCTAGCATTTGGCTAGCCATCAAATAATACTGTGAAAAACTGAAAACCTGTGTTATTGTCACGATCAGGCCTGCAGACAGGCTCACCAAATCTTCTGTGCCTTGTTTCACCCATCTGTCATTGCTACATAATGCAACTTTATCAGTATAACCTATCAGAACTACAGACTTAAATATTCATATAATATACAGAGAAACCATAGGAAAAATTTTCATGAATTAGGTCATAATTTTATTTACTTGCATATTTTCCCCTTTTTCTTGGTCCTCCTTCCTGCCTCATCCTTCCAACCCCTGGAACGAAAAAGTGGGGGAAGGGCCTTCCTCAAATCATGATAACCTGTTCTGAAACAGAAACCAAGGTGGCTTTTCCATGGAAACTGATGTCATCCTCCACGAGGAGGAAAGGGAATCAGGAGTGACTCGTGAAATCACTTGGCTCTGTCCCCCGCCATCTTCTCCACTCCCTTTTACTTACCACCCAGTTACTGCTCTTCTCCCTTTGCTATTACTGTCTCTTGGTTATATGAGGCTGAAGGTAGAGAACTGATGGCCCCTCAATGGATGGCAAGTCTTGGAGAGCAGAAGTCCACCCTAAACTTTCTTCTGCTGAACGAAGGGTGCTGAATCTCCAAATCCAAAAAGAAATCTTGACCGACTGTTCCCAGTTTGCCTGGGACTCTCTGAGTGTCAGAACCAAGAGTCCCACATACATCCCTCCAAACCCCTCAGCTGTGAGCAAACTGGGATGATGGGTCACCTTGGTGTGGCTGTACTTTTGTACGATCACCGTCACTTCCTAACTCTTGCCTTTTATCTCTCGCAAATATAAAGTTCTGCTTAAAACAAAAATCTCTTTGCTTTTTTTCTTTCTCTGAAAGAAGTCAGAATTACTAGACCCTGTGGAAAATGTACTTTTCTGTTGACAATTAAGTCCAAATGAGTCACTTTTCTTTAGCCACTAAAGCTGAGTAGAAATTCTCAAGGATTAAAGAAAGAGATGCGTAGATAAGCTCCTGATTCATGCAAGATACTGCTTCAGAAGGGAATTTATGCAAGCAAGCCCAACAAAGCCAGTAAAATTGAACTGTTCTTAAAAATGGAATCTACACATTTTTTCCTCTAAATTTAGTCTCTTTGGCACTCTGCAGTGAAAACTAGGCACAGCTGGAACGTTTGGAGGGTGTTAAGTCCAGAGATTGAATCCAAAATATTACATTAAAAAGAAGTGCCTCGAGGGAACAAATACGAGTTACCTCTGACAGCTCGCCAAGTAATTGCTATTAGGAAAATGGAGCAAATCACGTCAAATGAGAAGATTTAACATAGGAGATGGAACTAGATAATATCAATTATACTTTACATCAAATACCAGAAACCGTGAGCAAATTAGTTTTTGACAGTAAGATTACCTCCTAACAAATCAACCAGGGAAGGAGACTGTAAATATATAATTAATTTCCACCACTATCTAGCCATGGAAAACTAATTATATAGGCTCACACTGCAGCATAAACCATGTAGAGTATTTCAGTAGATATTTGTGTATGAGTATTGTGTTTTAAAAATATTAAGATAAAGGTTCATCTTATTCTCATAGCTTATAAAGAATTCAATTAGAGTACATTTAATGTAAGACTAACTCTTAAGCTGATTTACAAAAGGAAATATATATCATGGTGTGTTTTAGTGAACTTTAGTTGAACTTGTAAGCAGTTAAACAAACAGAAAATTTTATGATTCTGTAATATGCCTTTTGGGCAGTAATTTATATATATATGGAAAGAGAGAGATAGTAGGTATTATTCAAATTATTGCAAGAAGTATTTGGAAAAATGTCAACATGTGAAGCAGAATAAAAAGTAACCATCCCTGTCTAAAGATCATGCCTCTAATTGATAGATGAATAGAGTGTTCTAAGATTAACTTAAAAAAAATTTTTAAGAATGGAATATTATCAGGAAGTTGGTCTGCTGGAATGAAAATAAAGACATCTTTAGTAAAACTGTCCTCTCTGTCCAGCAGTGTCTGAATATCTGGATTGAGCTTGAAAAACGGAGCATTCATAACAGGAGCTAAAATTAGTAGTGCTAGTGATCTACTATTCACCTGAAGAAAACATTTCCACTTTTAACTTAGGGCTACTTTAACATGTATATAGAAAAATAATAAAATTTTATATCTAGACTGGATTGTGGAGATCATGAAACTTGGCCCCTTCCATTTCACAGCTCAGCAAATTGGAGCAGAGAAAATGAAAACGCTTTCTTTAAGGTCATACAGCTAGTCAGTGGCAGAGCCAGGACTAGAATCCTCATGCACCAGCACCTAGACTGGAGCTGTTTCCACAATATCATAATATCTCTTGCTCGGAAACAGAGCAGATGGGGAAACTTTCTGTTGAATTTACAGGACCATAATGACCAGACATTCAAAATTATTTGCATCTTGTAGAGTAAGCATATCTATAATAATAATAAGCACATGGACTTCACAATTAATAATAAATAAAAGAGTTCTTTAGTTAAGCCTCTGAAGATATTGGAAATAATATAAGGGCAGGGATTGGTTTCTGCTCTTGGTGTGCGACATGGAAATCTACGTTGGCAAAAGGGTGATTCTGGTAGATGAACAGTCAAAGTGCTAGAGGTCAGGGAATCAAGTCAAAAGACATATCAGGAAACTTGATGTGGCAGGTAGTTTCCAGGTGGGCAGGAAGTACCCTGGATGTCCATGTGTTGCCCAGCAAAAGTACTCTAAAGTCCTGGAATGTTCTATAACAGAATCTTCATCAAAAGATATGTCATTTATCTTCATTTCTCTGTAATCTCTCATAAACATTTACTTCCTTGTCCCTGTGGTTTCAACCAATCTATTTTTTTTATGTTCCACATCTTTCGAAAATTCTTTATTACCTCCCTCCCCTTCATTTTTAAAACTTTGCTGAAACCCTGGTGAAAAACACTTTCGGTGGGAACGGTAGTCTTTACTGAGCTGTAAAAAATCACTCCAAATGTGAGGATATTAAATAGCCTGGACTCGCAGGGACAGCGGGTGGCAACTCAACACCTATTGGCGACTGGTGCCAGGTATGATCATCCCTGCCAACAGAGAGAATCTCTAACCAACAGTGTGTGAACTGCAGGCAAGGGCTGCTCTTGTGCCCTTCCCCCAGCAACTGCCATTACTTCTACATATTTATTTACAGGAGATGTAAGTGTATGAAACTAACAGTCCTAAGTCTGTGGCTTTTTAAAATTTGGTGACTTGTAGATGCTACGTGGAAATCGTTCACATCTAATTCCCTTATGCCCACCCTTCCAAAAAAGCCTACTTTCTACGTGAATTACATAGTTTGGATTATTTTCTTAAATGATTAAAAAATGAAAGAATTAATGAAACCCAAGTGATGGAGGCATAAAGCAAAAACCCAATTCCAAGGGTGATGACTGATCAGATCAACTTTGATCACAATGCAGTGTAAGGTAAACCTATTCTGAGAAAGTGTCACTTTAAGCATTCATACGGTGAAAAACTATATGTCTGTACAAAATGGGATATCAGTCTTTTTTTTTTTTTTTTCAGAGTTATGTTTTATTCAGCAGGAATTTTTAGGACTTCAAGCCTGGGAGGCAGCATCTCAAGTAACCCTAAGAGAACTGCTCATAGGAGGCAAGTGGGGAAGCCAGGTTATATAGAAGTTTTGTAACAAAGGGCAGGCAGTTGGGAACATCAAAAGATTATTGTAAATTAAAGAAAACCAGATATTCCAAGTTAAGGAATTTAGCGCCTCTTTTCTAAGCATTATTCCTCATGACAGCTGAGCATATCAGAGCATAGGTTCTGATTCCAGAGTCCTGGGACCCCACTCTGGCTTCATGCGGCCATGTGACTGTGGGCAAGGTACTTCTCTGTACCTAATTTTCGTCATATATAAAACGTAAAAAAAAAAACAAAAAATAATAAAAAAAAAAAACGTGCCTACTTCACAAGGTTGTTGTAGGAATTAAATATACTGGTATTTGTGAAGTCCTTAAAGGACATGGCATACAGTCTGAGCATCTTTCTGTAGTACAGTACAGGGATCCAAAATGTTTTTGTGAGAAGTTTCTTTAAACTTCTGTAAAATTTTGATGTCACTGGATGGACGAGACAGGGCGGAAAGTGTCAGCCACTTCTTTTTTTTTTTTTTTTTTGTCAGCCACTTCTGAGCAGAGAGAGGGTCACTGCTCCTGATACACAAACACAAAGGGAGGGGCAAAGCCAGGGCAGATGGCCTGCATATTTGATTCTGGGAGGCAGGCAAAAGGGTGATTTTAATGGAGGAACTGCTCAGTCCTAGGATTTCTGTCTTTCTTTTCATCAAGTGCGAGATGCTGGCACTCAATAAATATTTGTGGGGTGAATGAATGAAAAGGTAAATAAGACATAGAATCGCTTTTGATATGTTTGTAATCCAGTGGAGTTCTATGAGATTAGGGTTTTAGGACTACCTGAATCTATAGAAATATGGTGGTACCTTTACTGTCATTCTGAAATAAGCCGCAGGATTTTTCTTTAGATATTTTAGATAAAAGTGTCTGGTAACGCTGTTGTAGAGATATAAAATAATTGGCATATATTTCTGAGAGTGATTTTTTTTTCCATCTTATTCTATCTAGTCATTTTTTTCTGGGTGTGTTATAAATGCTTTGAAAATAGGAATCCTTTTAGAGTCATATTTATGCCAGATAACAGAGAGCAGATTCTCAAGCTTGCTTATTAAAATTTTACAAGATTTCGGTGGTCTTGTTGGGCTGAGACCAAATATTTCAGGAGATGTTAAAAAGTAGATTGTTTTTAATACCTTATAAAAGTAGAGCTTTCAACCTAAACACACACACACACACACACACACACACACACACAGCTTCTAGACACATTTCTACGTACATCACTGCATTTAGAGCTGTATCCAGAAAATTTCAGCAGTCAGATAGTGTTGAAACGTTTAAAAGGAAACAGCCCGAACAAGCAATCCCTACAAGCTTCTATTTACATAAAGTAGCCAAACAAACCCCTGAAACTTGTGAGCACTTAAAAAATTTCTTGGTTTTGCCAAAGTTGACAAAAATATAAGCTGAGGCTCTGTTCAAGAAAGGAGAAATAATTTTATGTTCTCAAAAAGTACTCTACCTATGACACGTATTAATAGTTTTGGTTCAGCTTTACACAGAAGCAACCTTTAAACAGAGTAGTCAACTTATGGCCCAAGCCGGGAATCTAAACTGAAGAAAAAAACAAGACTGAACAGTAAACAGGAAAGGTAAGAGAGGTTAAATTCCCTAGGAAACCTCAGGTGGGGAGAATACTTAGAATTCACATTAGTATTTGCAAGTTTTAGGGTATCTTATTTTATGGGAGCTTGCCATTCCTAGCAACCATGCACACAAATAAAAACAAATTTGGCTAAGTGTTTCCAACATTTTATATATAAAATCTGGGCTTCTGCTCACATACAACAACTAGGGATAACCTTTGTAAATAGTGCTTCTTACTGTTTATCATGAGTTAAATATTAAAAACAGTTCAGGGGCTTCCCTGGTGGCGCAGTGGTTAAGAATCTGCCTGCCAATACAGGGGACGGGGATTCGTGCCCCGGTCCGGGAAGATCCCACATGCCGCGGAGCAGCTGGGCCTGTGAGCCACGGCTGTGGGCCCGTGCGTCCAGAGCCTGTGCTCTGCAACGGGAGAGGCCACAACAGTGAGAGGCCCGCGACCGCAAAAAAAAACAAAAAACAAAAAAACAAAAAAACAGTTCATATAGCTCAAAGGGTATGCACTCCATCACTGGTTTAGGAATACACTCTTCAACACTGCTTAAGGCATTCAGTGAAAACCTCTATAGGAAAGAACACAAAGAATTGGTATTTACAAACCAGACAGAAGCCTATATTATGTCAGGTAACCACATCACAAAAATCAGAAAAGAAAGAACTTAGGAAAGAAAAAGGTATTAAGTCTAAGTTAGAAAATTCACTTCAAAAATCCATGGGAAATGGAGTAGACCATACCTTGAATAACTCAAACTCCTTCTTTGGCATCAATAGCTAATGACAAATGATGAACATAACATAAGTACATAATATATATGCACATCAGGCCAGCCCAAACATAAGCACAGCAAACAGAATTCCCACCGCCACCGCTTTAAGTTGTCAAGATCTATAAATTGTACATCAATCCTTTATTTTAAATGTTTCCTTGATTCTCGAATTCTAATAAGGCCAGAAGTCTCTCTGGATAAGTGCAGGGCCTGCGCTGGGCTTGAATGCCGTGAGGAGGCAGAAATCCTTACAGAATGGTCATAGCAGCACGTGACCACAGTTCTAGGTTTGGACAGCCTGCATTTTACTAAGCCTAGGCATGAAACTTCACTATTTCACTGCATATCCTATGCAGTTTCAGCTTCTGCGCAAATTTATGACATCATTATGGGGTCAGATGTGATCTTTTGCTCAAGATTCTGAAAATGAAAAGAATTTTCCTGGGGGCATGAGAAAGTGGCTACCACAGGTTCAGAGGCTAAGCATGGGACAGTCCATCCATTCTGTCTCTGTCGGCAGGTGTGATTTCTAGAGATCCTGTCACAGATTTAAAAGCACACGGCGGTGGCCCTGGTCTCTTGTGATTACCACATCTGAAGAAAGATAATGGCGCTGGAACTTGGGTGGAGGGTCTACCATGTGAAGGCAGTTTTTAAAAAAGGATTAGGATTCGGTAGTTGGAAAGTTGAAAGCAAACAGGCTATAATCAAAGTCTATATAGAGGATGAGAGCAAAGGCTGGTGAAGATGAACTGGTAGACACTCCAGCCACTGTCTCAGGGCCATCCTCTATCAGGCCCCTTGGGTAGGAGGGCTCTGGGTAAGAGTAAAGAGGCAGAAATACTATTTCTCCAAAGGTCAAAAATATTATAGGGTAGAAAAAAAATAGCATTCAGAGGAACAGTCACTGAGATAAACATTTTGAGCAATTTCCTGAAGAAGTAAATCAGAAAAACATATGTATAATTCTTCCTTATGTCCGTAGCCACTGTCCCCCCGTTGCCTTAGGAAAAAGGTATAAATTATACAGTCAATTAAATCTCAAAATGACTAACACATAAAAAGTGTTTAAGTCCTGTTTAGGAAAGATGAACTTGAAAATTCGAAAAACTTAAATTTTGCTCAAAAATTGTAATTACCTGTATGGTATGCGTGTAAGGTGGATCCGCACGGCCCAATCCAGACTCTGGAGGTCTCACGATATCCAAAATGTTGTTTGGCACAAATCCAGAATCTCCACTTGCATTTAGAACTTTCCACCATTGCTTCCTATCATCAAGGATCTGTCATCATGCAAGAAAATAAAGGCGGCATTTGTGTACCAAAACCGAACTATGAAGGAAGTTCGATTTTTATTCTTAGACCAAGAAAATGTTTTCACTTTTAATACGCTGACTCAGCATCAACATACTGTGGGTTAAATGATTGTCAGGAATTACACTAAGAATTACAATTACTGGTATAGAACAGCTTTGGTACCACTCTACCCAAGGTCCATATTACCTCCCAAGAATGCTTAGCCATTTGTGGTATTTGAAGTACTTAAGATGAGTTACTTGGAAAAAGTCTATTGTCTCCATCCTTAGAATAGAGAGGAAAGGTATAAAAACATTTTTTTTTTTACTATTGTAACTATGCCATATTATACATTAAAGAAGATGAAGTCTCAGTTATAACTGAAGGAAGAAATTTGACAGTCATGGGAGATTATTCCCAAAACCATTAGCACGCTCACTGCTGGTTACATTTGTGCAAGGGTACTAAAATAGGAAGGAGGAAATGTTTTCTCTTATTAAAATATTATGGTGCATCTACAGCTGAAGTGATGACCAGCCTTGATTCCAGAATGAATAAAGGCCAGAAGAAGGAAGAGAGCAAAGTAAGCCAAGAAATCCAACCCCCCCCCCCGCAAAGAAACAAAAAACAGATAAAGCAGCTACCCCGCCTAAACAGATATAGGTATCTATAATATGCTGTGTATCCTTGGTAAAACAAAATAACACTGAAGAATAATTTCTTGACCCCAGCATTTCTTTGAGGAAGGTTTAGATATATACCAGAAAAGGAATACAATAAATCCACTTTATTAAGAGTATAAAAAAGGTAAAATTCTATTACCTCTAAGATATCATCCTTTTGAACTGAGAGCTCACTGTTGTTCCTTGCCACAAAGTCATACCTGGATTTGGCATATTTCTTGGGTTGTAGATCATAATTTCTACAAAAAGAAAGAAAAAAGATAATCACTCTGATAGCTTTTCCTAAAGGCTGAAAGCAGAAGTGAAACACTAAGGCAAGCCAATGCCTACCAGAAACCATTTGGACAAGTTATTTAGATAGTGGTTAATTTTATTATATTTTATAGAGTATGAGAATATGAGTACTTAATTTGATTATATTTTGGAGATTTTACCATTAAAATGAACAAACTATGGCTAGGGTAAAAATAAATAATGCAAAATTACAAAGCTAAGTTAGTGCTAAGCCAAATCTAGAATGCAAATCTATGAATTCTTTGTTCATTAAATCTAATATCCAAAATACTGGATATTGCTTTGTTAACCAGCATTTCTACCATGAAAGAACCAGGATAATGGTCGATGTTACCATTTTTCATAAAATTAAAGGAGACTAAACATAATGTCCAAAGTGGTAATTTAAATTATATGTTGATTTCACTAATTCAAGCAATGTCTTCAATTCATTAACCAAATATATATGAAAAAATTATGACTAAGTGTCAATATTCAGGAAAGCTCTGTCCAGTTATCCAAATTGCAAAGGAAGGTATGGGTTAAGTACAAGAGCAATACCACTTCTTAGTTAATTTGTTAATTAATTAATTCACTATAAACTTATTTTAAGAGTAAGGTGTATTTTTTAAAAAAGAAAACTTTATTTAAAAACAAAATACTTTTTTTTTTTTTTTTTCGGTACGCAGGCCTCCCACTGCTGTGGCCTCTCCCGTTGCGGAGCACAGGCTCCGGACGCGCAGGCTCAGTGGCCATGGCTCACGGGCCCAGCCACTCTGTGGCATGTGGGATCCTCCCGAACCGGGGCACGAACCCGTGTCCCCTGCATCAGCAGGTGGACTCTCAACCACTGCACCACCAGGGAAGCCCCAAAATACTTCTTTTAATCATTAAATGGCCATTAATAGATTTAACAACATAATTTTAAAATACTTTTATATAATATAATAAAACCTGGTATATCAACAACGTAATAATATTCTCTTCCCTTCAATAATGAAATAATAACTTTAATTATTTTTTAACTAATTTTACTCCCTAATCTTCTCCTCCATTTACGTCCCCACATTTCCTTTGTAAGAGAAAAAGCAGGAAGGCACTAATGATGTTTGGTCATCCTTCCTCTGTCAAGTGGCCATTCTGCTTTCTGCCCACCAAGATCATCTGGAATACTGAGTCACAGCGGGGCCTGCAGGACAGCTGTGGGCCCAGTATATCTTGTCATCATAGGTAATCTGCTACCTCTTGGATAGTAACTCCAGGAGAAGAGAAACAGGAACAAAGGAAAATCATAGCCTGTAAACCATACTGGCAATTTTTGGTATATTAAAAAACTAAGAAAATGTGGAAAAAGTGAAATTATGGCCAAATAATTATTATATATTACTATTAATAATAAATTTTAAACTGTGTTCCATGGATTTCCTACCCCTATCTCTAGTTCTATATGATCACGTTCCATTAAAATTTCATTTGAGGGGGAAACGTGTTTCAATCACTCCAAACGTTAGCAAAACAGTAGTAACTTCAGTTTTCTATCTTCCTCTCCTCCCTCATGTTCTTCTCTCCAAATCACTGCTGATAACAGAGAGTTGAATGTACTGTTGAGCAAAGGGAAGAATAACTCTGCCACTGTGTATATGAATCAGTGGGTTGTGGTTAAAAGAAAAGTTGACTGTAGTTCTCGTTGAAGTCTTTGCTATCTTGCATGTCTCAGAAGTGACTGCCCAGCATGCACTTGCAAAGTGCTTTAGAATTTACAAATATTTATGGTTTACAGTTTCTTGCCCTCTATAGATTAAATGTGGGTATGACACTGACCATAGTTATCAATCTGAAAATCACACTTTGTAATTTTTCAGATGTACCAGAGTTTCTTAAGAGATCTAGAATGTATCAAAATGCATGGTCTCCATTTCTGATTTGGAGTTATAGATACCCACCTGATACAGAGTGGACACAGAGATGGCAATAATCTGAGACTTCTCTAAAACATGAATTGCTTTTGAATAGCAGTAAACTATAATCCATCAAAGGTGAGGGTGCTAAATTCAATAGGTGGTTTCCCTAAATGACATTGTAATTTCACTGAAGAGTGAATATACTTCATATGGTATTTACTGCATTCCTGACATGTAATAGAGTTTAAGATGAATAATAATTACTGTAAAAACAAATTCCAAACCTCTGTATTACGTATCAGACCAGAACTTTTAGACAGTTTTTTCAATAATTATGACAAATTTTCTTAGCAACATCAATGATCCAGGTGTCTATTAAGCTATCCAGCTCCTATTATAATAGCCCAGGGGAGAAATTCGACACATAAAGGCAACTGAGATATACAATTTACTCCTTTTAAAAAAATATATTTCTCTGGCTAAATATTGACAGTCTTAAGATCTATATACTTGAATATCCCTTCATGGAATTTCCTTCACTAATCTGAAATAATTTCTAGAATACTGACAGCTAAGACAGAAAAAAAAAAAGGAAAAAGAAAGTACTAGGATGAAGAACAAGTTTCTCAAGAAGAATTGCCATGAAATAATTTTTAAACTGATTTTCACCTGTATCTCCTAAAAATTGAATCTACAATTCAAACTTCTTTGATATGTTGGCATTTTCAAAATGTATTATTCATTGACGGCTTTTCTTTGTACTGAATTTAATACGTTACTGGTGCCCTTAGAATAATAACTGTATAATTTCCACATCATTTTACTTAAGTATTACCTCTGTTATCATTCCTGACAAAAAACCCAAAATTTTACATCCCACCTTCTTTAGATTCTATTAAGAAAAGAATATACTGAAGACAAACTAAGGGCATGTAACACTCATAGTAAGACAGGCTTTGAGGTAGGAAAGTACCTCAAAGTGGGGTAGGACAAGCTCTCTACCCCACTTCATCTTAATGATCATTCTCCCATATCCTTGTTATCAATATTTCACCTTTTTTCTTTCTCTTATGTGTATGGGTTGGCCTCTATGTAAACCTCACATGCAGTTTACACTGCGAACAAGATTGAAAAAGTGACCCTATTTCAATTCAATTTATTTCTTCCCCATCTCAATTCTCCATTTTTGCCTATATTGAATTTTTGGAGAGAGAAAAATATGGGAAAATAAATGAAATGTAAAACTGGAAAGTGAATATAAAAAATGAAATGGTACAAATGGCAAATAAGGCATTGATTCTGTTTAAATATTCAGTTTATACTTAGTTTAAATACTTCTATCTAAAGGAAGGTTTGTTTGTTTTTACTGGGGGAGATAAAGATGGAAATTATTTCCTTTAAAAGTTACAGAGCTGGAAAGATCCTTAGAGACCATCTGGTACAAACTAGAGAGTTTCAAAACAATTCTTCTTCTTAATTCACAGATTCTGTCAGAGGCATCTTTTAAAAAATGGAAAGTTATCCAATGGCATTTGCACTAAGTTAGAATTACAGACTGGAGACTTTGCTCATCAAAGCCAGCTCTATAAAGGAACAACTGAAATTTTAACGAACAATTAATAGATGGAAAGCTCAAAGAAGTAGTGAACAGTGCAGACACTAGCACCTCTATTTGCACTAAACCAGAGATAATCATCCACAGCTCTCCAAATGATGCCCATGAAATGTTACCTATCTACATGGCGTTGAGGAGTTGGCTTAAAAGCAACAGCAGCTTCCCCTTGGTCCAGATGGGGCCCTCTTCCATAAATGTTATTGAATACCGTGTACCCATCAGCTGGAGGATACTCTGATACACTGGAGTGCTGAAAGACAGAGGAGGAAAGATTAAAGAATCACCAATACTATTTGAATGAGCACTGACGTCAGTTAACAAGAACCCTCCACTACATTGTGGTCAGTTTCATTTTCAAGTGATTGCCTATTATATGTTAATAAATTATGAAATGAGGGTTTTTGTCCAAGACCTAATAATAATAAGAAAAGTAATTAGTGCAAAGACTAAATCTTAATTCAGGAAATATCCAATGCTTTTATTGTATAAAAGCAATAAATTCTTTCCTCTGGAATTTCAGTAATAGGTGATTTTGGTATTAGGCAGACTTTAACAGCTTGTATAAAATAAAACTCGTTTAAAAACAGCAACAATGAAACCCTTAACTTTTGCTTTCTATGTTTAAGAAACAGACCTTTACCACCCTAGCAAAGTAAATACTATCACATGAAAATCATCTGAATCCTATGTGTTAAAATTATACCACCCTCTCTCATTATTCTCATTTTTTAAATGTACATGGACACTATTTTTTATTTTTTTTAAATGGCAGCACTATTATCAGATTTACTGTTAAGGAAAACACAGAAACGTAAAAACACATTGATCCTGAGAGTCAATAGTCCAGGATAAGACAAAGCTGGAGCCACTTCTTTTTGCAGTTAACACAACACAGACATGAGCCTAATGGGCTACCAGGAGGGAGAACCGAAATCTATGGGTCCCATTAAGCAGCATGGCTTCAAAGCTACGGGGCAAAAACAAAGAAACAAACCAAAAAAGTTCATCTATGAATTTTGTATTGTTTCCTTATGTAAAATGAAGTATGGTGGATGCACAACAGACCCTAAAGCGTTGGAATTTCAATTGTTTATGGATTCACTGGGACAAAATATTTGAAATTGGGAATGTTTTAGAAAAGTTCTGAATGCACATTTACTGTAGTTAATTCAAATGACAAAGTTGGCAGGAGTAGGGCTGAGTTCATCCACAGACAGTGTAGGTGAGGTGTCTCCAATGGACTGCTATTGATGTCAAAGTACCCGCATTATATTACTCCTGTGGAATATATATCAGGATACTGCACTTAACGTACACATACAGATAAACAACTTTTACCATTTCAATACCTTAGCTTAAACCAGCAACAAAGTGAAAAGGCAATCTATAGCATGGGAGAAATCATATACCTGATCATATATCTGATAAGAGGTTAATATCCAAAATAGATAAAGAACACATACAACTCAATAGCAAAAAGCAAACAATCCAGTTAAGAAGTGGGCAGAGGAACTAAAAAGACATTTTTCCAAAGACATACAAATGGTCAACAGGTATATGTAAGGGTGCTTAGCATCACTAATCATCAGGGAAATGCAAATCAAAACCACACTGAGATAGCACCTCATACCTGATAATAGCTATTGTCAAAAAGACAAGAGAGAACAAACATTGACAAGGATGTGGAGAAAAGGGAACCCCTGTGCCCTGTTGGTGGGAATGTAAATTGGCGAAGCCATATGAAAACAGTATGGAAGTTTCTCAAAAAGTTAAAAATAGAACCACCATATGATTCAGCAGTCCCACTACTGGGTATAATACTGAAGAAAATGAAACTAGGATCTCAAAGAGAATTCTGAACCCCAAGGTTCACTACAGCATTATTCACAATAGCCAAGATATGGAAACAACTTAAGTGTCCATCACAGATGAGTGGATAAGTAAGATGTGGTATGTATGTATATACAATGGAATATTATTCAGCCATGAGAAGGAAGAAAATCCTGCAATTTATGACAACATGGATAAACCTTGAGGACATTATACTAAGTGAAATAAGAAAGACAAACACCACATGATATCACTTATATGTGGAATGTAAAAAAAAGAGTCAAGCTCATAGAAACAGAGAGTAGAAAAGTGGTTGCCAGAGCTGGGGGTGGGGGACAGAGGGAGAGGTTGGTAAAAGGGTACAAACTTTCAGCTATAAATGAATAAGGTCTAAGGATCTAATAAAAATGTGGTGACTATAGTTGATGACACTGTATTATATAATTAAAATTTTCGAAGAGAGTGGAACTTAAATGTTCTCAACAACAACAGATAAATATGTGAGGAGATGGATGTGTTACTTAGCTAGATGGGGGGGAGTCCTCTCACAGTGTATACATATATCAAATCATTACGATGCACACTTTAAATATCTTATATTTTTATTTGTCAATTACACCTCTGTAAAGCTGGAATTAAAAAATAAAATAAAGAACAAATGGCTTAATTAATTCAGTTTATCACTTCCCTAGGAGAGACCAGAGGCACTACATGATCAGGCCATTTTTTTTGTTGTTGTTAAATGCTGTTATAAAAGGGAGGAGTTGAGGAAACAGAATCACCCACACCTTCTGCCTGGCTCTGAACATAACAGTGAGGTTGGACAGTATGAAGTCACTGGGTCCTGAGAGTGACTGGGAATATGAGAAGGGAGGAGAGAAATGATGACAAGTGACTAACTGTGATGACTACACAACACAGCTCAGGGTGGCTGCTGCTTCAGAGGAAGGAAAGAAGCTGAGTACTGCCACCCATATTTGTCATGCCTTGTCACCTATGCCACCAGATCCTGAATCATCCAACTCTTGTTCTGAATGCATTTATTATAGGTACAATAAAGTATAATAAAATCTCTCTTCTGGGGATGATTGCATGTTACACATTTTTAAGTCACCATTACTTTGGTCTCTTTTCCAACAAAATCTTAAGATATAAAATCCCATAGAACTGCTAGCAGGTGCTTTTCAATTCATTATTTTCAAACCTCTGAATAAGTGCTTAAGCCATAAAATGGACAATAGTTTACAACAGGAAAATGATAACTCATTACGAGGAAGAATTCTCAATAATTCTTCCTTGAAAGTTACTTATTCTCTGAGAGTAGACAAACTTTTATACTGGAAGCCAGAACACATTACTCTCTCTTTAAATAAACAAATTGAAAAAGAACTCACAAAAGTGAATTTCTGAGGCATGCATTATAAAGTGGATATATTTTCTTATTTAAGATATGAGGACTGTAAACTAGAAATTTCTATGATTTGAAAATACTCAGCTGTAACTATGGCAACAGCAAGTGTATCATAATTTCATGTTTGATTACATTTTTTTATTCTAGAAAAGTTTCCCTTTATGAGGAAGGAAAATTCATTGTGATGAGGTCTGAACTATAAAATACAGCTAGGGACATATGTCTGCTAACCTGCACCCAGAACTGTGAGGTCACCTTCTTAATCACTCAGTTAGAGGGAAGGGCAGTTACAGAATCCACCGGTACCATTATATGCAGCCAGAGGAAAAAATAATTACAGGAGAAAAATATTACTTTCAGAGAAGTATATTTGCTTTATTTTTAAAGTTTCACAATTTAAGCAATCTTCTATAATACTATGGCTATTGTCGAAAGAAACGATTTTAAGAAATTTAATTTATGTAAATGTTTCTCCCTAAAAGTCAGGATATACTCTAGTTTCCTAATTCATTCCTTGATATCATATTTGCCACATTGTAAATACCCACAGGGATCAGAGAAGATTAATCTAAGGGATTAAATAAAGGAAATGAACAGGACTTCAAGGAGGACCTAGTCATTAATTTTCTGTTGCTTCTTCAAACTAGACCTCATTCATCTAACTCCTTGGGTTGTGATCATCCGCTCAGTTTGGTTCAACTTTAGGTAGTGTTTAATTTTCTTTTCTGTCAGAACAAGAACTGTCATAGAAAAATCATTTTTAAGGAATGTGAAGAGATAATCATACCCAATTTCAATCCCTCAATTTGTTCCCCCAATAAATCATCATCTAAAGCTTACTAAAGATCATAAAAGATACACTATATTTTATGATCTCCTCAGGATGTAATAGTGTTATAAGTCATCATTTGGACCTGGGACTGCAGTCCAGGAGGAGCTTTGGCCTTCTAGCCAGGCTGATAGGACTTCGGGAGGTTTAGAATGAGGCCAAAAAATAAAAGAAAGAAAGAAAGAAATGGGACATTCAGGAAAGAGCTGCTTGGGAGGGGCTTAAAGGTCCTGGGTCAAGGAACTGTCTTGAGGGTCGGATGACAGGAGAGGAAAATAGAAAGAACAGACCAAGCAGCAGTGGGGCAATCCCCTGATAAGCAGGGAAAGTACACAGTCCAAAGGACGGGATCACCAGGGCTCAAGGAGGAGAGCTGGCAGGCTGTGAGGTGTGATACGCGCTGGGTTTGGGCTTCACAGGGAAACAGAGCAACTGTCACCATGACAAAGAGGTGAGAGGTACCTAAGAGCAGCAAGACATCTAGTCATTGATTTGAGAACAATCTTCAGATCAGTAAAGTGAGAACTCACGATCAGAATTACAAGAGAACACACAGATTACTGCACTTCCCACAAAAGATGATATTGAAAGACTACCTCTGTGGATAATCTTTTTGTTTCTTGCTTGCGATGCTGTTCTGCTGCGTTTGCCATGGACTCAGTCAGTTGATAGAGATCCGGCTCCACCGATGTTCCCATGAAGTTCAGCATCGGGGGCTCCCAACCACTGCGGAACCGTGGGACATAGGGTGGGATAAACTGTTCTTTTGGCCACTCTGCTCTGCAGAAGGACATTAAGACATACGAACAGCAAAATTAAGAAACACCTCCATGCTCAAAAGGATCTTCAGTAAGGCTAGCCACAAAAAACCAAAAACAAATAACAACAAAAACAATTCACACGTAGTCTGCCCTCTTTCTATCCAAACAGAGAAAGTAAACATGTTTATGCTAGTATTTGATGCTGATACAATGAAAGGAAGTCTGAATTCTACATTATGATCTGCTTTCACTACATTGCCTCAATTCTCCATTAATTCAACCTTTGAACATAAATATACATCTTTGACAATTTGAGAAAGGAATGTAAAGCTAGAAGTCTGGTGAGAACTTAGAACATAAGCTTCTCTAAGCATCAAATCGTTTCTGATCCTCATCTTTCCCTTCACTCCCCTCCCATCACCATGAAGCCTCCTGATACGAGATGTATTTTTCAATCCTAAAATGAAGCACATTACTGATTTTATAAATTGAATGGATCAGCTAGGTTTTCATCAGTAAAATCAAGTTAGTACTAATCTGTAATATAATCATGACCCATTCATTACTTAGTAACTCTGAGACTTATTCCTATAAGCTCCTAATCACTCATGAACCACAAAAATAACTGGGAGAGACATTATTAAATTCTGCTAAAATATGTTGTTTTATCTTTCACACATGATTTAATTCTTCAGGTTATACTTCTACTGTGATGAAATGATTCTGGTTATTATGTTCCTTTAGGATTCTTTTTTATCTTTATGAGTTTTTAAGTCAGTATATTCACTTCCTAATACTCTAAATAATTAGGATCTGAAATGACCATTTTCTCATGTCAAGGGCTAACAATATGAGTTCCTTTTGATGTAGGTTTCCTAATAGTCATTAATTTTCTCATTTTGAGGTAGGACCCAAGACAAAGAAATTTAAAACCCTGAACTATTTTAGTACTATGAGGTCTGATAAATTTAATAGGGTTTATGGGAAAAAAATGAAAAGATCCCTACCTAGGCTTACCATAAAATCATAACCTACATAAATCTAATAGATTTAAGAAATCTATTTAACCAGTTTTTACATAGTATGATATATAAATGATACAATATGCTACATTAATATATAAATAATATGCAGAAATAAATTTAGATAACATTTTCATTCAAAAAAAGCAACAACTGCAGTGCCCTTAAAGAATCTTCTGTTTGGTAAACCACTCCATGTGTAAACCATATTCCCACACAAGCAGTTGCCAAAGTCCAAAACATAAGTGGGAATGGTTTATATATATTTCAATAGAAGAACAGCAGAAAAAAAAATATGAATTGGTCCATTACTTTCAGGCTAGCCTAAAAGCATTACGAAGACAAACTTCCAAGTGACCATACTGAATGATTTACTCTAAGAAGTGAGAGAAATAGAAAGATTCAAATAAATGAGGAAAGCAGAAATCATTTAATCACATATAATGAAATGAGAAATATTTTTATAACTTGCTTGGCTCAGCAAACTTGAACCCTGCAGTTGTTAGTGATTTCTTTTCCACAGTCACCTCACTGATGAGATACAATTCTTAAACGTATCCCCTCCTCTTTTCCATTCCCGCCACCATGGTTCTAGTCCCAAGGAATGCTGATTAATAAGGAACCTCTACTATTGCATTATTGTCCCAAGGGGCCTCACGCCTCTAGTAACTTTTGTCCGTGTCCTCATTAGACTCAATGACCAGACTGATCTTTCGAAGGTCTGGTTGTGTCGCACTCCTATTCACAAAGCTATGGGTTCTCCGCAGCCTACAGAACCGTACTCCAGCTCCTTAGTGTGGCACTGGGAGCCTGAACCCAGCCCTGCTCATTTTTGTACACCTCATTCATCACTATTCCTCTGTTCCCCATTCTCCACCATCCCCCACTACCCAAAGTCTATACTCGGGCTAAACACACATTCATGCTCCATTCTCTTGACTTTTTGCTTCATGGCTTCAGTCACGCTGCTCTCTCTACTGAGCAGGCCCTTTCCCTGCTACGTATTTGTGGAAATCCTCCTCATCCTGCTGAAAGGCAGCTGAGCAAAATAATTACAAGCATCTATTTCAGGGCCAGGTTGCCTGGATTCAAATCCCAGGTCTGTCGCTTACGAGTTGTGTGGCCTTGGGCAAATTACTTAACCTGTCTTTGCCTCAGTTGCCTCACCCGTAAAATAGCATAAAAATGGAACCTATGTAAAGTGCATGGAAGAGTGCCTAGCAAACACTGTATGTACACCCTTGTTTATACACATATACCTCCTAGTGTTATTATCTGTTGATTTTAAATGCCAGCTCTTCTTTGAAAGCTAAGCACCCTCCTCTCTAAACCCTCTTCCTGACGGCTCCATCTTGCCAAGTGACAGCAGTTTATTTACTGGTACTCATCGTATCTTACACTGCACACTTCTATGTTCTCCACTAGACCTCCAGCTTTTTAACGGTTTAGCCTTTCTCATCTACAACACCTACTCCTTCATACATAGAAGGTTAAATAAATCTCTCACTAGATTCACGTACTAGACAAAGAACAATACTTAAAGTATTATAGGTATTCGATGCTAGACTCATATATATGTTTACCTGGATTTCATCCACGAGTCTCCCAATGACACCCACAGCTGCCTCTCATCGACGTTGACAGTGTAACTCAAGAAATCGATTGTGTCCTTAGTCAGTAGGGGGCTGAGCACTGAACTGGCTAGTTCAGGACCTCCTGTGGCCTGCACAACCTAAAATGGCAACAAGTCACTTTTCAGCAAGAAGATGGTGATTATTTGTACATTTTCAGAACGTGTAGATAAAAAAACCTATGATAAAAACAAGCAGCTTTTATGTACTCAAATTAAATCTTCATCCAGAGCAGTCTTTCCAGCCCAATGGTGCCTAATCGTCTAAAATGAAAAGTTAACAGTTTAACAACTTTCACAGGCTCTATCTCTTGGCTTCATAGGACTGTACTTTGCCTGGAAAGTACTAATGGCTATCCAGGGAATTCTAAGTCAGCTGGTCTAAAGATCGCTGCCTTAAAAAAATATATATCTATTTCCACTGGAAAATCTATTATGTCAGACTTGAACAATATGGTTCCAGAAATGAGTACTTTAGGGAGAAACAAGGCTCGAGTTAAGTCTATGGCTGTGCCTATAAAGACATAAAAAATAAAGGATCCAGAGAGAAAGGTGAGAGAAAAGATGAGAAGCGGTCCTCCGAATCTATGGTATTTCTTCCCAGAATTTAATTGTAGGAAGTTGCCCTGATTTAAAAGAGGTAACGTAATGATTAGCAAAAACAAATAAACAGGTGCAGCTCTCTGATAAGCAAAATGATGATAAGTAGACGTCTGAAGGCTGCTCCAATTTTATTACTCAGGGGCTATTTCCTGGTTAAGGAATGGTAATCTCCTAGAGCAGGAACCAGAGCCCTTTTATAAAAATCTCACCTTCCCAGAGATACGGCACAAGAATAAAGGGATTTTTTTTTTTGAATGGCTCCTGACCAAGAGTCAATTTCTCTCCAGTCATCCAGGTGTGCTGAGCCTGCTATGCTGTTTTATTCCTCTGTGTCTTTGCACATGCTGTGTCCCAGCCTCCAGAAGGCCCTTCCCCATCATTTTAAATAGAACTCTCCTCGGGTATCACCTCTTCTGAGAAGCTCTTCTTAACCCCACAGTGTAACTCTGAGGCACCCTGGGGTCCTCAAGCATGCATATCAGCTACACATGCCATTGTAACTTGGGCCTTATTTTTCAGTTCTCCTCCCTTGAGAGCTTGGACCAAAACTTATCTGACTTTGAACTGCAGAAGACACAGGGTTAGGGGAATGAATGAGAAAATGAGAATAAGTGAAAGAAAAGATGAAGGATAAAGGAGGTGGGTAGACCCTTATTTGAGAACAAAACCTACCCTGAAAGCCTGGCATAGTGATTTTTTTTTTTTTAATGTCCAAGCACTATAAGCTCTAATAAATAGGCAGGAATAACTGAGAGGGATAGTAAAGAAGTAAAGAAATATTAAAGATCTTTGGTTTAACAGTGGGAATAGGGAATGGAACAAAGGAAAGTAAATAAAAGGCTATGGGCCATAGTTCCCTCTGAAGAATGTAAGTAGGCACACATGTGTGCTGTGGGTACGCTTGCGTGGAGATGCTGAGGATACAGGGAGGGACTCACAAGGTTTAAAGCCACTAAATTTTGTCTGACTGGTAGCAGGCCCTGAATTAATGTTCCTTTCCACCTCTCTTGTCCAAGTGAAATGTCTGGGACTCCGCAGACAGAACATTAAAAGAAGCAATAGAAGTACTATGTTTGGGAGACCATTAATAAGGAGTCATTTTTGAGAAAAGAAAATATAAAATAAAGCAATGTTTTCAGATACATAGCCTGATCACAAAGACTAATTTTTGTGTGTTAGGGAAAACAGTCCCACTATCTTATAGTTCTACTCTGTGTAATGTCTAGATATCTACTTATGATCTGTGAAAGACTTGTGAAAGGAATGAGAAGAGGTGGCAAAAACTGCTTTATAAACAATACTTCCTAACACTCAAACTAAGATAGTATCAAATGTGTTGAAGAATAAAGAATAAAAATTTTGTTAATGAGCTAGCATCACTTTATTTGCATATGGATGGCCTTGATCTAATTTTTAAAAGAGCTTGAAAAGCAACAATTATTCAACAATAACTAAACAAGCAGAAATCGGATACTCTATTTATAGCAACAACGTGCGGAAGCATTCATAAATTATTGATGTAGGCGCGGACTTTCACCTTCCAATTGCTTATCACCCAGTTCTGACATTCATGCTGATAAGGTTACGTACTTTCCTATGTTTGCAAGCAATATTCATTTCATATTCTACTTCAGGTCTTGTCTAGTTACTCTTGGGGAAAGAAGGATGAGATTTATCCCTTTTTGATACTTGGATTCTTTGTCTCGTTTTTTTCTGATAATCAAGCAAAACCTAGGAGAAATGCTTGAATTTGCTCCATTTTTTATAAAGATTAAAGAACTCAATGACCATGGTCTTCATATGCTCTAAATCAAATTAGTGAAATTTATCTGCTTCACAGTTACCATTCTTACCCTTTAAAAAAAATCATGGAAATAATCACACTACGAACAATTATCATTTACTGCTATTATTATTCTACAAAGCAATTATTTGCTCTTTTGACAGGACGAACCATTCAAAACCACTCCACATGGGCTTCCCTGGTGGCGCAGTGGTTGAGAGTCCGCCGATGCAGGGGACGCGGGTTCGTGCCCCGGTCCGGGAAGATCCCACATGCGGCGGAGCGGCTGGGCCCGTGAGCCATGGCCGCTGAGCCTGCGCGTCCGGAGCCTGTGCTCCGCAACGGGAGAGGCCACAACAGTGAGATGCCCGCGTACCGCAAAAAAAAAAACAAACAAACAAAAAAACAAAAAAAACAAAGCACTCCACACATCCCTGTCTTGGCCCATCAAATAGGAAACTCTGTCCTCCGAGAAGTATTTAAAAGAAAGAGATTCTGCCTTCTTTCCATTTCTCTCTCACTTGCCCTCTCCACAAAAGGAGGAATGACCTATCAAATTTCTGGTCTTGTGGAATTGTAGAAAAGGGTGACTTGTAGCCCAGTCTCTTTTGGAATCTGTCAGTGTGTAAGGCCAACAGCTGTTCCATCTGCTTTCTGTTGCCATGCTTTTCCCAAATCCCAGCACTTTTCTTTTTGCACTCAAATGTTATTTCAGCTAATTCTCCCAGCTGTCCTGTGGAGAAGATGGTGGTATATGTTAGCTTGGAAAAACCACTATTAGACCGTTTGCAAATATAAGAAATAGAAAATGGGAAGGGAAGTATATTACTGCACCTATTTCATTAAACGTATAAGAAAAGAGCATACCTGGGTACTGAAAATCTAGAAAATGAAAATGTGTATCTTGGATCCCGGCCTATGAGATAAGTGGTATAACCTTTTGCTGGACAAACTCATGGAAGCATCCAGCTCCTTCACAAAAGGAATTGTTCCCAATGCACCATTTTGTTATCTTCAAAAATTATGCCTTATGTAAAAAAACACATGTGCAAGAAGGGAGTTTTCCAGGGGAAAATCTGTATTATGTACATATCACTAGACCTGGCACATATGGGCCTCCCAAAGACTGATAATTGTCCCCCTAATATCCATTCTCTTCTTCTCCCTTCTAGAAAGAGAAGCCCCTACATTTTAGATGGACACATAGCCACTCTGGTGGAGACTACATGACTTTGGTGTTAGGGATGGCCATATGAGGGAGTTCCTGCCAACTGGATAATAGCAGAAATTGTCTAAGTTTGGAGTCACCTCCTTAAAGATAATTCTTTGCCTTTGTACTACTGTTACAAGGACAGGGAGGTAAGTCAGCTTCCACCATAGAAATGCCTGACAGAGTATCTCAGTTCCTCCTCTTGGAAACAGTTTCTTCGTTTGGCTTACAGAATACCTACCATGATATTCCTGTTTTGCTTCTCCTGACTTCCCACTTCTTCTCACTCTTCTTTGCTGGTTCTTCTCACTCTCCAATCACTGAAATTACCTAAGGCTCCATCAGCCCTTGTTCTTCTTTATTTATCATCACTCCCTTGGTGACATCATCCAATTTCTTGGCTTTGCATGCAGAGGATTTATAACTCTAGGCCTGATTTCTCCACTGAACTCCAAATTCATACATTCAACTACCAATGCAAATTTCTCCATCTGGATATAAGTCACTTTTGACACTGTCTGAAGGGAATTCCTTACCTTCTGGTCCAAACCTGCCTTACCCACAGTCTTCCCCATCTCAGTTAATAATTAGTCCATCCTTCCAGTCTTAAGCCAAAACTTTGGAGATATCCTGGACTCTCACACAACACTTCCAACCTACCAGCAAATCGTGTTGCTTCTGTTTAATAACCAGAATGGGGACTTCCCTGGTGGCACAGTGGTTAAGAATCCACCTGCCAATGCAGGGGACACGGGTTCAATCCCTTGTCCGGGAAGATCCCACATGCCGCGGAGCAACTAAGCCCGTGCGCCACAACTACTGAGCCTGCTCTCTAGAGACCGTGAGCCACAACTACTGAGCCCGTGTGCCACAACTACTGAAGCCCACATGCTCTAGGGCCCGTGCTCTGCAACAAGAGAAGCCACTGCAATGAGAAGCCCATGCACCGCAACAAAGAGTAGCCCCCGCTTGCCGCAGCTAGAGAAAGTGCACACACAGCAATGAAGACCCAACGCAGCCACAAAAAAAGAGAAAAAAATTAAGAAAGTAAATAAATAAAATAAAAAATAAAAAAAAAACAAAACAGAATGAAATCTCACCACCTCCAATGTTACGTGGTCCAAACAACATAATCTCCCATCTGGATTATTTCCATAGCCAGCTCAGTCCCTTCTTCCCTCAAATTTCTAAACATTGCAGCCAGAGCAATCCTTTTCAGCTGAAACCCCTCCCAAAGTGTCAAAGGTTTCACAATCACCTATAAAGACCAATAAGATATGTCCTCCTGCTTGCTGACCTCATCTCCCTCTAGTTGAGATCTCCCCCCTCATTCTATTCAAGTCACGGTACCTATTTCTTCCAAGAACATGACTTGTATGTTACCATCTCAGTGCATCTGTATTAGCTGTTCTCTGTCTGGAATTCTCTTCCTTCAGAAACACACGTGACTCATTCCTCACTTCATTTACTCAAATGATACCTTCTCAGTAAGTCGTTCCCTTAACCTACCCTATTCAAAAAGTGTAATACTCCACAACACACACACATACACACACACACACACACACAAACACACAGCACTCCCTGTTCTCCTTCTCTGCTGTATTTTTCCACATAGCATTTATTTTGGGTGAATTATTTATACATTATTTAGGTTATTGACTGCCCCTCCACACTACAACATAAGTCCCGATAAGAATTTATGTGTTTTGTTCCTATGCCAAGCACATAGCAGGCTCTCAGTTAATATTTGTTGAAAAAAATGAATGAATGAATAAGTGATTGAATCAGAGATAGCTCAGGAGATGGAGGAACACCTCACTGAAAGAAATCTGGACCTCTGAGTGACTTCACGGAGCAAAGACATCCATCCAGCATTGGACTCCTCACACCTAGCTTATTTTGTGAGAAAGAGAAAATTTTCTATATTGTTCAAGCCATTTATATTACATACTAGTATATACTGAAACACTAGTATCCAATAAATCTTTATTTCTTTTCATTTCCCTAGCTCTATCAGAGACATCAGTTTCTTCAGCTATAAAATCAGGTGTTTGGACTAGATGATTTCTAAGGTTCTTTTCAACTCTCAAATTTCACATACTCAGTGTTCACAGTAGATGGCAAAAGAAATAGTACCCATGCAAGGCAATGAAGAAAAACTGTCTAGATAATCTAGACAGACACGTGGGGTTGAAAACATGCTAAGAATAATTACTTTCTTAAATTAATAAAATCTTACCATATTTAATGGAGTAAATAAAAAGTGAACCAAATCTGCAGCACTAGGATTCTGGATGTGAGACTTCAATTTGGCCTGTAACATTAAAAAATCAGGCAAGCCTATTACTATGATGTAATCGAGACAAAGGCAGACATTCAAAAAGGTTCAACATAGACTCAAAGAAGAGGTTTTTACTACTAGTTTCACTTTTTTGTATCTTAATTAGCAAGCGTGAGTGAGATTAGGAGAATTTCATTTTAAAAGACTGGAGTCATTCTTTTCTGATTAAATCTCTTAGATATACAGATTTTTGCAATCTGCTCTTCTAATGAAAGGCAAATCAAAACACACATACAAAAAAAAATCTATAACAACAATTTAATCTCTTAATTTGATCAGGTACATCCTGGCTAGACTTGGATCTCTTCCGTTTGTTTCTCTTAATTGTATATAAATAAATTTCACTTACCAGAAGGTTAAATCCATGTTTAAACTTTTGGAAACAGTCAATAAATAAGTCAGGAGGTGGAGGTTTTGCCCTCAGTGTTAAAACACCCTCTAAAGAAATAAATGGGAGGAGGGGTAGATGAGAGCAGAGTTCCAAGAAAACTTATTCAATGAAAAAAATTAGAAAACACATTTATGTTTGTAAAATTTAATGATCACATCAGATATCATGCTACCTAGTTACCCTCCCGCATCTCATAGTCTGACTGTAACAAATTAAGGTGATCCAACATTTGAAATGGATTCCTCTGCCCTTAGACACTATCAGATTACTCATCAATTCCATAGATTCATATTGTAGCCCTTCTATGCACCAGTCATTGTGCTTATCACAGTGAAGGCTACGCGGATGCGTAAGTTACTCCTAAAGGCCTTAAAATCTATGGAAGACACGAATCAGATAAGTAACAGAGATACGTCAACCGGGAGCTTAAAAAGAGACTACAGATGGGGAAATGTATTCTTAAAGATGTTTCATGGGGAAAGCAGCTTTTAAGATGGGATTTGAAAAGTTTGTCCCAGGGCAATTTGGTAAGAAAAACATCATGGTTGGATAAAAACAGCATTAGCAAAAACATGGAAAAAGGAAATTGCATGTACATGAAACAACAAACATAAAAGCAAAGAAACGCGAGAATGGAAAAGCAGATCAAGGTTAGATTGTGAATGACCTTGACTGCCAGACCTCAACCGCCAGAGTTTGACTTATATCAATAGAACATGGGATTAACATGCTTTCCAGCAGAAGAATGAAGTGACCAACTTCGAGCTTTAAGAAGACTGTCCTCGTAGAATGGAAGACTAAAGCCTTGAGGGTTGCTTAGGAAGCTGGGTAAAAAATGAGGCAGCTTGAAGCAGTGCTAGTTATGAAAATGAAAAGGGAAAAAACTGGGTACAAGGGACCGAAAAAATAAAATCAATGTTGGTTATAAGCTAGAGAATGGACTCATAAAAAAATCTATGGCTTTGAATCTGGATGGCCAAGAAGATAGTATACTGTTCGTAAACAGTACAAGAGGAGTAAGTGGTTTGGGACATCAGAAAGCAGTAATACTTGACTTCAGAATGTATGGAGGTGAGGTATATCCACATCCATCCATCTAGAAAACAAGTCTACAGGTCATATGCTTATGATATAGATAGAGCTAGAGAAAGATTTGGAAGTCATGTGAAATAAAAGGAATATTTATTTACTATTCCCTTATATATTTCAATCTATACCATTTTGTTCCATAATTATAATTTTATACATTTTGAGGTCATTTTAAATAGCTGAGCCACCGCCTACTTAAAAACTGCTTGTAGGTGACCCGAATGTACTGTTTGGTGTTTTGTGATAAGAAATTAAAATTCACTAACATTTTAAACTATTTTAATGAGAAAAGTCAACCCTTTTATTTAACAAAATAATGAGGTTCTATATTTACAATTAAATAAATTCAAATATGGGAAGAATGGTGCTATGATTTTCTTTAACAGACATTACTTTTATAATGACTAATGAAAACTATAGACAGATGGTCACTACTGAATCTCAGAGTCTCTGTAATTTAGGTAAAGTGTCCTAGAGTCTTTCTTTACTGTAGCCAACTTGGGACCAAATGGACTCTTCCCCAGGCTCATCTTAATCTCTGCCTACATCACTGGTGCTATCTCAAAACCAGAAAAGGGACCTTGGTCCCTGGTCAATGGAGTCTTATTGAACAACTCAGAAGGTCAGAAACTCTGCCTAGTACTGGCATTCTGAATGGTCTTTAGAAGGTTAAGAAAATCCAACTTACCTCCTGGTCCTTTCTTTTTACCTTTCTTAGTTTTCTTCCTTTTAGAAAGCTCAGAAAATGCTTCAGCTGCTTTTTGGAGTTTTGTGATAAAAAATTCAATGTCATCCAAAATGTGGTTTAAGATTTGCTGGAATTAGAAATTACAGAATAAAATATAAAACAAAAGAAAACTATTTTTGCCTTAGCTGTACACTGTGAAGGAAAATCAGAAAGTTAAAAAAAAAAAAAGAAAAAGGAACACCTCCCACATGCAAATTTCAGGTTTATCACTAATTCTAAGAAAAAGTTTTGAACTAAATATACCTGTGGCTGAAGTCTAACATTTACATTTTTCTTTAGCTTAATTTTGTTCTATTTTCAATACCATAAAGAAAGCATTCACAACATCTATTCAGATTATTAATTATTTTCAATTACTCTGATTTTTTCATTGTGTTCGCCCACATAAAGTTAGGGGAAAAATTTCCAAGAAACAGTTTGTTAGAACAGCACTGAGCATTTCTGTTTTTCTAATAAATTTTCCAGTAAAGCACTGACAATGTTATTTCATGGAATTAAAGGGCTCTAGAGTGTTATGATAAATAAACACATAGATAATCTGCAATAATAGGCATTAATAAGCATTTCTTCTGGGTAAAACAGAATTAATGATGCACTATGCTTTCAGAGATCATGAGATCAACTTTGATTATACTATATTGTATATTACATTATACATATTATATTATACATACTATAGTCTTACTTGACTTTCTCTTTTATGTGTGAAACTTGACATTCTTTTAACTAAAGAGTAAAAACTGAGGCTAAATAAGCTTTTAAATATTAAATAAAGTTTTAAGCATTAACAAGTAATACTGTGATGTAAAAATTAAATTCCAAACTTCAAATTCCTCTAAATATTTGTTTCCAAATAAGCTGAGAACATAAGTAGAGTATAAAAAGTAATTATGCTGATGTCATATTTTATGATTATGTCACAGGACATTGTCATTCTGCAAGGAAATTACTATGGAGAAATAAAAACAAATACAGCCTTATCCTTTATAAAGCATTAAAATGTACTTATCTACCCTTAAGAAATGCCACATAACTTTTATCTTTTGGGCATTATAAAATATTTTAGAGTAAATGCCAGGAAGACAAATTTAGAAGATATTTCAATCATGGGTTACAAACTATGAGAAAAGAAAAACCCCTCAAATCTTGATGATTCAGCTTAAATTCCTCTGCAAACCAGTTGATAGTCTAGTTCTATCACAGCCTTAGTCTACTAATTAAATATTGGCATAAAGGCAAAAATAGTTTAAAAGAATAATTCAAAGGGCCTAACCACCACTGGAAAGAGAAAATATGGTTTCCACAAAATACCTTTATTTAAATCAACTTAATTTTCCCTGTTAATAATTTTTCCTTTAAAAAAAAGCCAAAGATATAAAGATGACTATTTCACTTACCACATCTCTGTCAATGCGAGCTGCCGTCATCTCAGGTGTTTCTTCCTGCTGATAATAATTCCTTTGTTTCTCAACTAAAGAAAAGAGAATCATGTATCTTTCAACCTGTTGCTTAAGTGATACCAATATAGATAATCAAACATGCAAATTGTCTAGAAAAGAGCATCATTTGCAAAAGGAAACACCTCCGCTGGGTACAAAAATCAAAGCTGTGCCCATCATCTCTGACGTGCATCCTTGCTACCACACTTGGCAGAGCTGCAGTACTGGCTTTCCATTTGTATGGGATTGATTTACACTGTAATTTCCCCTCTATTCTCTCTCTTTCCAAAGTCAGCTGCCAGTGGAACCAACCCTAACTTAGTACCCTTTAATTCCTACACAAGAAAAAAATATAAACCCACGAGGTCCTGGCCGTGTTTCCCACCACTGGCACTCCAAGGTCCCGGGGGACCAGGCCCAAGCCGTCTTTTCTCTCCTTCCCACCCCGCCTTGCCGACCAGGTGGCTTCTCACAGAACAGGCCCCAAATGGGTTGTTCTCCCACTTTGGGTTTATGCGGCCCTGCCGGTGACAAGGGGCAACACCTGGGTTAGGCGATCAGGAGGATCAGCTGCTTAAGTGCGGCCCGGAGCTTCCGAGGCCTCCAAAAGGACAGAGCAGCCGACTGTCTACATTTCCCGGGCTTGCTGTAAGGACAGATGGAAAAGCACATCCAAGGGTCTGTCCCAGGAGCATCCCCATGGGAGGACTATCTCATTTCCTCTCCAAGCCCCGGCTCGTCACGTCCGAGCACTGGCTCCGACTCGGCTGGCGTGTATCTGCCTGTGAAAAGCCAGGAATTATGAGGAGGCGGCGAGGGCTGTGCCTCAGCCACTTAAGCTGCTTCTACCACCGGACACAGCTGTCCCGGCCATGCGTGCGGCTAAGCACCTACTTCTTAAAATGGGCCGACTAAGTTCTAAGTTCTAAAGCTCCTAATTTTCATACCATCTAACATCATGACAACAGTAAAGCTTTGGGGGTTCTGATAGTAAGGTGCTTCTAAAATTGTAGTCTAGTTAAGCTTAAAACCCACAATGTTGGGTTCATTATCATTTTAAGCCATAAACTTTATAAGTAGAAATACCTACAAGAATTTGCAAATTAAAGAACCAAAGTCTTGGGCTTCCCTGGTGGTGCAGTGGTTGAGAGTCCGCCTGCCGATGCAGGGGATGGGTTCGTGCCCTGGTCCGGGAAGATCCCACATGCCGCGGAGCGGCTGGGCCCGCCTGCGCCTCCGGAGCCTGTGCTCCGCAACGGGAGAGGCCACAACAGTGAGAGGCCCGCGTACCGCAAAAAAAAAAAAAAAATAGAACCAAAGTCTTGCATTAGCTCAGTTGGCTAGACCATGATGTTAGTCATGATCATTATCATGAACTCCGTCCTGGTACAGGTCAGTTAACACTTCCACAAAACACAGATACTCCTTCGAAGATTTCTCAGTAGATGAAATGAAAGAAAAATGGATGGATGAAACAGAAAAACTGTATCATCACTAATGGAAATACAACTCATGACGGATCATCATGACTCTTGATGTTCAATACAGAGAACTACAAAAAATACTGAAAACTGCTATGCCTCTTCTATGCCTAACTTTACCCTTAAATGGAATATCAGTCTTATGAAACTTAATCGGTGAAATTTCAACATATGAAATCTTGCCAGTTAGCTGCTGCTTTACACACGGTTAGCTGCTGTCTTGGTTTTAGTGCACTCCAGAGGGCAGTAAGTTGAAGCTGAACTACAGCTATCAGGAACTCCAATAGGTCCCCAAATATCATTCAGACGGCACAGTGAGAGAGAGGCGGTATTTCTCGGATTTTTCATAATCTGCGGCGCTACTAGCATCCCACTGCCACTATTCTACAGAGCTCTATTCTGGAGTCAGGGGTAGAGCTACGTTAAGGGTCCAAAGAAGGAGTTGTCCAGCCTGAGTCAGCTGGAGCCTTCAGAGGGACCAGAGGGATACTCCTCTTGGAGGGTTTTCCAACTGGCCTGGAGCCTGCACGCTGGACAGAACCTCACGTGGTAAGTGGCGTGTTCTGTTTGACCTGGTAGTAAACCAGAAGTTCTGAAAACCTTATCTAACTGTAATTTAAATAGATGAGCGTGCACAGAGTATTTCAGACAAAATCTAATGAGGGCTCAGAAACTCCCGGGAATAAATTTTTGTTGTTGTACATATTAGGTTTTACAGATGTTTTTACAGGTTTATTCAGAATGTCTGAAAACTTAAGATGTCTTATCCTTCCTCAACTTCAAGAAAAACCATTTTGACTTCTCTCAAAATAAAACCTACATCCCCTCTACAAAATAGTAACAATAGCAAAAATATTGTAAGTACACAAGAAGTAGAAAACACTGTAAACTCCCGTTTAGTTTTTAAACATAAAATTGTAAATACAAAGTGGACTGATAGAAATGTATATAATTCCTAAAGACAGAAACTGCTACAACACTACAGCAAATAATAATTCTGTTACTTTATTTTTGAAAAGCGGATGCTTCAAAGATTTCTTTCTTTCATCTGTTCGGTAGCTGGGTTTATATGTAAAGTGAAAATAACTTTAAGAACATGGGAATCTAAATAAAATGGAAAGCAATTGATAAAATAAAATGAACTCAATTTGGCAAAAATGAATGTCTACTATACTGTTCCGGGTACTATTATAGACATTATTTGCTTTCAGACTCACAGCAACATAGGAATTATTATCCCCATTCTGTAAGTAAGGCATAACTTCACAAGGTCGCACAGGTAGGTCCCTGTCTTGCTCCAGAGCCCAGATTTTGGCCCTCCAGACTCAAAGTACAGTCCAGTATCACTCATTTTGGTAATCAAGTTCCGTAGGTTAACTACACTGTTAGATTCTCATGAATAATGCTTTATTAGATAAAGGATAAGAGATTTAAGAAATCACATTGAACTAGGAGGCAAAAGAATGAGGCTATGGTCTCCATCAAATTCAGACTCACTGGATCACTATTTCTTCACCCTTAAAATGAAGAGATTGGACCAAACATATTTTAAGGCATTTTCCAGGTATAAAAATTTCAGACTTAGTAAAACATTCTGTCAGATAAAAGGTTACACTATGTTCTTTGCTATGATTATTTGTTTTTAAAGAAGAATGCCATGGTAAAATGATGGTACAGACATAGGGTCCATTGGGCAAGTTTACCCGATGGTGAATGCATTTTAGCCCTTTTCCGTCACCCTACCCCTGCCCTGACATCCTGTCCTTGTAACCACAAACAGTTTGTCCAAAAGAGGACAGTGGTAAGATAATAATAATGGAAAGAACTTGAAGTATTATCTTAAAAAAATATTGATCGTCTCCTGTTTGGTATATATAATATTACCATTCTTTTAATTGTTAGTTGAGTCAAACTTCCTCTCTTTGACTGCTTTAGAAAGAAAAGAGTCTACTCCTAACACCATATTTATTAAGACTGGTCTGAACTCTCAGAGACAATAATCTTACAGTGCCCAAGGCTTAACTTTCCTTTACGAAAGATTTATTTTTACAAGACTAACCTCAAGTTTCAGCTCAGAAATCAGCATCAGATTTTGAAAACAAGAACTAGGTCACAACTCAAAGTAAATGATAAATGAGCACCGATCCCTGGAAATACTCACAGTCCCCTTGGTCAGCTGCCAATGCGGACCAGGCTGCCACCCGACTTCTAACATCCACCTGGGTCACAGTCCCAGGTGGCACAGGGGCGGGAGCTCTGGGTGGAGGCGGTATACCAGGGTCTGCTTTGGAAATCATCCTAAAAACAGATGAAAACAAACTGAATTTTTACCCTCTCTATTTCTACAATACATCAATTCTCTCAATTTTATGGTATTAGTTCTTCAACCTCAAGAAGAACTATGTCAAGGGGTAGAAAAACAAGGATTTCCTAACCATGCCATGTTATGTATATTTATAAATGTATATGAAATATAAAAATATAGAACATTTTCAAATCAGCTGAAAACCAGGTTTAACATTTTTTCTGGGTCTCCTATGATTTGCAAAGGCTGTTAACCAACTAGAGACCTAACATCTGTTTATAGTCCCTTTGGCTACCTTGCCTTAAAATGCCACACATTGGTTCATGGGTCTCTGTGACAACACAAGTAGAAGGAGCCGTATCAGAGAAAGACCAGAATCACGGAGAGAAAAGGCACACACACATACACCAACAAACTTGCGAGAGCAAATGAGTTGAGATTACAGGTTGTAATCTGCAAAATATAATAATATACCTTCACTGAAAATATATTTTTTTTCATTTTTAGAGGAAAAAAAAGACTTAAAAACACACCAATTCTAGCCCTTAATTTCTTTTAATGTTTTTACCTCAGGACATCAGGCCGCCTCTTCTGTTTCCCTCCTTTACTGTCGCTGATTGCGCTTTCAATATCTTCACTAATTAGGTTTGCCTGCAATGAAAGACAAGTTACCTGGGGGCTTATGGATTTTTTTTTGTCTTGATATGTAGGTTAAAACAGAAAAAGGGATTATGTTCCCTGTCCAAAACAAAAATGTCTTGATGCAAAGAAGCCATTTTATTTTTTTTAAATCTGCTTTCGAAACATAACTCTTCCAGTTTTTTTAAGTGAACTTTGTAATGACAGGATTGGAAAACTGAAGGAATTTTTAAAGATTATTTAATCCAGATTCCTTTAGTTTTTTTTTTTTTTTTTTAAAAAAAGCTATACTTGCATAAAGGCAAAGAGAAAAAGGATTTGCATATGCTGAAAGTATAAACACATGCTGAAAATGTAATGGGTTAATAGCTATGCCTGGGAAGAAGTGAAGGAATCAGAAGTACCAGCATGTGGAGCAGCATCCCTCCTCTCCCCCGTCCTCCCCATCCACTGGGCCCCCATTAACTGGTGGAAACCACTCAGTTGCAGCAGCGCTACTCCCAGTTTAAGACAAACCCACATTGTCACGGGGTGGACCCCAACACTAGGTTGTAACCTTTGTGATAACCTCTTTATTTTGTCATTGCACGTTAATAAAAATTAACTTTCTCTAAATGGTTTGACATTTCCGATCCTTTTCCAACAATAATCCTTGAACGTTTGATTTGGTTTTCTTGGGAACCAATAAGAGATTAGCAGCTAAGAAATTTATTTTGTTTGGTTCTGAAGTTTATTTAGCCAGTGATTATTACTGTATATTAGGTTCTTGCTGGGATGTATTTATTTTCTGTTTTGTGCCTGCTTTTTCTCTGTAATTACGTATGTTTTTCTCAAATACATATATGCATACATACATACATACATACATATTATACTCTTTTACCATAAGTCCAGGTAATCGTAAAATTTTAGAACTGAAAGGATACTTAAAGATCATATAATCTGTTCTAATTGTTTTATAATTAATAAAACTGAGGAATACTTATATGATGACTTGGCCTAGGTCACACGGCTATTAAACGAGAGCGCTAATGCATCCTAGTCCTGCTTCACTTCCATAAGAACATCCTAGTTTTAGGAAGACATTACGAACGTCATTTCAAAGGCTTTCTATTATGTGGGAAAATAAAACTGAAGATGCCTAGGAATCCTGAATTTCCTATGGGCAGGGTGTGGGGCTGGCCATCATATTTCTAAGAAAAAATTTACTACAGAGGTGAGCAGGAGTTTTGGGTAAAGTCCCCTGATAAAGAAACTTTAAAACACAAAACTGATGTTGCAAGACGGCCCATATAAAAGAAACCACATATTTCGTTGCATTTATATTTTTAATGGGGCAAGAAAAAAAATCCATCTCATATGTGCACCAATGGGTAAATGCATATAGCTGTGTAGTGGTCCTTGACTTTTAATGAGGACAAAACAGCATTCAGTAAATCTGTTTTGGACCCATCAATATCATCATGCCCTATCAAATAAAGCAAACCTTTTATCCTCAAAACTGAAATCCAGAAACTTCACTCAGCCCAATAACTCTTAGTTTCCAGGGAGGGATTTTAGAGCGCTGAAGCAAACACCAGATTTAAAATGTCTTTTAGCATAGTTCTCTGTTTTTAAAATGTTTGAATTAAATTTCACTATATTTTCAGAGCAAAATATTCATCTTAATCCTTACTGATTTAATAAATCTAACCTTGCAAAATTCTTAATACGCTTTATGACTTTCAAAAGGCACTATATAAAAGTTTGATGAACATTACGTATACAAATTATCTACTGCCACAATTCTTTTCAAGTAAGATTTTTAGAAAATCATTTATGACATAAATTGAAATTAAAAGAAAATTATAAAATACACAATTCATAGTCAATCTTAATTTACCTAACATATTTTAAGGTCAAAGAATTACAGAAAAGATCAAGTGACACTTCATGCTAATCTCCCGGCATTTCTTTATAAGATAAAAACTGCCTGTATATGTTATAATATGCAGTCACAGTGATAAAACACTGCTTTGGCGAAGCACCAATCAACTCAACCAAAAATGATTTCCCTTTTAGAGAAATCAACTCATGAAATAAAGATTCAAGTTTGAAGATAAATTCTAATGTCCAATAAAGCATCACAAGTTATAATCATTTGAAAATTACAGTGTACTTTCAAATACAAATCTTCAGCGTATGGCATATTATTACTGGTAACTATGCTCAACTATTTTCACATTATCACTAGGGGATTACATATCTTGAGGAATTATTCCAGTCACATAATTAAACAGTGAACCTTAAATCGATATCATGGAAAATGTCCAAGTGTTTCATTGCAATAATCCATGCTATGTGATTAGTGCAGAATAAAATAGGATGACATGATTATTTATTGTCCATGAAGAATGATTTTTGAAGAATCAATCTTTAATTATAAGTCCAAGTCCCTCAGTGAAGAATTTAATGTATTATCCACACCTTTGTTTTAATAAACAGAATGCATCTGATTTCTTTCTTTTAATACTATTCTATCTCCTCTTTATTTACTTAGCCTGGAAACCCTAGGGAAGATACCGAGGTTATTTGTTTTCCTTACAAAATCCTAAGAAACTAAAAATCTAGTACCTACTAGCCATGTGATTGAAGTAGATCATCAAAAGCTGCTGGAACATGTGCTTAAAGGGAAAGAAAATTCACCATTCCTTTACCTTAATCTCATCACACTGGAAAAGATGAAGATCGGGCTTGTTCTGAGTTGACTCTTTGCACACGAGGGCAAGAACTGAATCATAGTTACAGGAGTGCATCACAGCTTGGCAGTGCTGGATTGTGTTCAAAGGAAAATTCTCCAGTTCATTCTACAAAGTAAAAATATAACTTGCCTTATTTTTCATTAGCTATATAAAATCTATCCCACAAAGAGCTCTAGGCATCATACCAATAATTTTTAAAGTATGCAAATCACATTGACAATGGATGCTAGTAAACACAGTAAATTTGGAGGATGATTAGGTACAAGTAGGCAGCAAAGATAACAAGCCTGGTGGATGGGAGAAAGAGCAACAAAAATGGAAATATATAACAAAGGAATGTAGTTGTGTTCTTGGTAAACAGAAGAAATACTGAAATTAGCATTACTGATTTCCTAAGATTATGGGCTAGAGATGATGCCTTTAAGAGCAAAATAGGTAAACTGAGGCCTCTTTCCAAAATTATTCACCATATTACCTGGTATTCCTTTCCCTGTGGCTATGTAGTTTTGGGTTTTTCTGTTTGTTTGTTTGTTTTACTTGAACACTGTACAGTCATACTCTTAGTTTCTACCTTCAGTGATCACAAATGTTAGGCTGAGAATAACACATCATTTGTACACTTTTTATTTCACTGAATCTCTCAGATGAAAAAATTCACTATGTAAGTTTTTCCAGCCAAAAATATCAAACAGCATGGTCAGAACAATCTTACTAAAAAATACATTCTTCAAAATGATTAAGATATTTGGTCTTGTGAAAGTGAATATTATTTCATGAGATATATTTAAGGTGCTTATCCTAACACTAATGGCCTTACACAAGTAGCGGGTGGTGTCTTGATGGAATTGACGGGAGAAATTGTGGGGTTTTTTTAAGTAAACAAAATACAATATCCCTGATAACTAGAACATAAAAAATAACAATAACTTTTATTACAGACAGCACATAGACATCACACCATAAATTTATTCTAAGTCCTGACTCCCTGGGACCCAGAAAAGGTGAAACAAAAAAGGCAGGTTCCATTAAATTAGAATGAAATTTATGAGCCATACTAGAGAGATAATAACTTTTCTTTCTTTGCAAAAGTAAATTAAATAATATCTCTCCTCTACAATTACTTGAAACTACGAGGATTAGAGAAGCTCTTAGTTGCTATTCTCTCACAGAATTCAATGAATGAGATGAAAGAAAGGGCAAAATTTACCCCAACTCCTATCAGACAACAAAGAGTTGTTGTCTTTATCTTAGCAACTCAAATGCCTATTAGATGATGGAGCTCAGAAATGGCCTTTTTCAAGAGCTCCAGCATCTTACCTGAGTAGCTGTGTAAAGGAAAGGTGCCCAGTGTTGGCCTGGTGGAAGTTAATGCACATACACACAAACCTTTTTATCCCAGTTCACTCACTGGGGTTCAAACCATATCACTGGGATATGGTTTGACATAGCATGTAATTAATATGTGTCATAAAGAATAGTGCCCTACAGGGCTTCCCTGGTGGTGCAGTGGTTGAGAGTCCGCCTGCCGATGCAGGGGGCACGGGTTCGTGCCCCGGTCCGGGAGGGTCCCACATGCTGCGGAGCGGCTGGGCCCGTGAGCCATGGCCGCTGAGCCTGTGCGTCTGGAGCCTGTGCTCCGCAACGGGAGAGGCCACAACAGTGAGAGGCCCGTGTACCACAAAAAAAAAAAAAAAAAAAAAAAAAAAAAAAGAATAGTGCCCTACAGGAGCCTTATTTTATTTTATTTTTTTGGTATCAGTGCAATTGTTTCTCTTTTTTAAATTTATTTATTTTTATTTATTTATTTTTGGCTGCATTGGGTCCTCAATGCTGCACATGGGCTTTCTCTAGTTGCAGCGAGTGGGGGCTACTCTTCGTTGCGGTGTGTGGGCTTATTGCGGTGGCCTCTATTGTTGCGGAGCATGGGCTCTAGACGCACGGGCTTCAGTAGTTGTGGCACGCAGGCTCAGTAGTTGCAACACGTGGGCTCTAGATCACAGGCTCTGTAGTTGTGGCGCACGGGGCTTAGGTGCTCTGCAGCCTGCGGGATCTTCCCGGGCCAGGGATTGAACCCGAGTCCCCTGCATTGGCAGGTGGATTCTTAACCACTGCGCCGCCAGGGAAGTCCCCAGGGGCCTTATTTTAGCACGATGCATTTTTTTCCTCACTTCTTCCATCTCATCATACATGGTTAAAAAAACATTGTATCCCTCTATCTCTAGTTTAAAAACATGATTTCACATGCATAAAGTACATAAAGTATGACATTTTTTTCTTCAAAATGACTGACAAGAATATTTTACGTTGCTAAATTTTTACCCATTTTCAAACAACCCGATCTAATTGTAAACATAAATATTTATGGACTTTCTTGAAAATAAAATAGTATAAATATTTCCAACTTGCCTTTGATTCTAAATCAATCAGGCTCACAGCTCTCTCGTCCACTTGAAGAATCATATCTTGAGTCCAAACTTTGCCCTTGGCATCAAGCAATTTCAGCTTCCTTATTCCATCGTCAACAGTTATCATAGCATCTTTCCGATCCAGAACAAAGGTAGTCAAGTGCTTATGATTGGCAAAAAGAAAAAACATAACACACACAGTCTCTTAGTAAACATTTTCCAAAAAAATAGCAAAGTTAAACTAACTGAAGTCAGCTAGTAGAGAGGGGAGAGACAAATACAAAGTACTGTAGAACTTCATGGTTACCCTATTGGGATAATAAGGACAAACAGGTTTTTGTTGAATAGAGGAAATGATGCCTTGAATCATAAAATATCTAAATCTGTTTAATACTGAGCCTTGTGGAACTACATAAACGTGACAGAAACAAACTAAACAGATTAAATAACATTCTCTTTATTTAATCCATTTTATTCCATTTTGGTTATTTAAATGCTGAACAATAGAAGGCAATCTATAAGGCAGCTTGAAAACTACAGACGTTGGTAATTGACAGCAGACACAGCAATTCTAGTCTGTAACAACTGTCCAACTTTTCACTCTACTGAAACAAAACTGTTTAAATGTAATTAAGCATGCTTGAGGAGGTAGAAACTTGAAAATAAGAGCAATTTAAAAATTACTTCCTACTTAAATATTTTCCATTATAATAAGCAAATGTCCACCCAAGTAGATTCCAATTAAGAGCAAACATCTTAAAAGACAGCAATAGAGGAAAAACTAAAAAAAAAGAAACCATTGCTTAAACAGAACTAGTAATGACTTTAGACAAAACTAAAAGTAAAACTAAACCATCCACTGAAACTGTCAAGGCTTATTTCAAGAAGATTCCATAATACAAAATAGAAGCCTTGGTCCTGTTTTTAACCAAAATAAGGCTGGCAATGATAAATGACCAGTTATCATTTTAATTTATTCTCTACGAAAACAGATTAACAAGATACTTTTATATTTAACACCTGCTTTATAAAAATCTGAAAGAAAAAATGTCAACACAATTTACAACATCATAGAAATGAAATAAAACATAACTCTGATTTTACTACCAATTTTTATGTCCCTCAAGCTTCATTCTAAAGTTAGCAAACATCAAAGCATCTTACTTCAACATGGTATTGGGATATATCTGACACGCTGCTGACACTATCCCGTGCATAATTCTTCCTCTGTTCTGGAAAAGAAGTTGAAAAAGCCATTATTTACCCATGAGTGGGCTGATGTTCATATATCAGTGTCTCGTGGCCATCTCTAAAACTAGTCTATCTCATACATAAGTACAGTAGAACAGTAGTATAAGTCACCACTGTGTGGTGTATCTGAAAATACTCATCGTTCACATTAAATGAAAAAGTCATGAGAAAGCTTACATTATATGCAAGAACAATTTGACCCAACGTAAGTGTTCTGAATCCCAAAGGTTAACAAGATTATTAATGTTGTAAGAAAAAGTTATTTTGCGTAAAGATTTTATTAATCAGGGACCTCTTCTTTGGCAAAAAGATAAAAACTGGCTTGTAAATTTCATCTTTTAATGCACTGAGAACAAAATGGAACTGCAAATACTGTCACAGATGCTGTATTATATGAGTTAGACTACATTATTAAAATAATAAACACTGCAAGGAACATGTTTCACCACATCCACACCATGGAGAGTGTTAAAGGAGAGTCAGTCATACTCACTGCCATTAAACTTTAACAATTTTCACACATCTACAGAACACACAAATGTGATACTCAGAATTGTAGATATAAGCTGTTAGAAAAAATAAGAAAGTTAGGTAGAAAGTTTCTGCACCAACTATTGAAAAAGCAAAAAGCAACCTTTGTTTTTCTTTTGTAAAATGCTGCAAAACCAAAATAAAATATGTGAAGGCACTATTTTGTATTTGCTGCTTTCTAATCAAGCAGCTTGATTATTTGTAAATTTGCAGTTGCCCTATTTTTTCTAAAGCAGCATACTATGGTGAAAAAGAGCTCTAAGTGGGAACCAGAAGAGTTTTGATTCTCACTTGGGCTCTGTCATTAAGTAGGAGATTGAACTTGGCAAAACTCTGGATCTCAGCACCCTTATCGTAAAATACAAGGGTTAAAGAAATAAGATCAAACTTCAAGACTCCTACAGTTCTAAAATTCTGTCTCTCTGTCTCTATCTCTTTCTCTCTCTGTCTCACACACACACCTTAGCTTTCCTAATAACCATTTTTTTTTCCCCCAAATATAAACCTGTTTCTTTCAGGTAGTATAGAAACTTTTAGATTTTCCTAAAACAACAGAAGTTGAAAAGTTCTGCTGAACGTAAAAGCAGAGCAAGTACAAAACTATAAAGCACATATACAGGCTAAGAATGTTAACACGTAGAATTTTTTTAAACTTTGATACAAGTAATGACTTTTCATTTATCTTAATGCTTACATGAAAATATAAATATGCCTTCTATTATATCACTATGGTATTATTCCAGTATATTCTATTTTTGCTTTTGCAGCATTAAAGTTACTTAATAAAAACAGACACACTACAAAATTCAGTATCTGCTACCTTTCTTTTTCTGTTTGGAGGATGATCTGAAGAAGTATGATCCATCTGGTCCTACCAAAACAATGTGACCAAAAAGAAACATCTGGTTTCACCTAAAATTTTCTATTCTGTTATGACAAAACATAAACCTTAATTTACATATTTTAAAAAGTGAACAACCATAATTTTTCTGATTATTAGCTGAGGACTAATCAATGTGAGATATTAACAAATGGATACTTTTTCTTGGGAAAACCATTAGAACTTTTAAAATACAATGTATAACTCAGGGACATATCTGAGAAAAGCACTTTTAGAAATAATCAATATTTCAGAATCACTGATTCATCGTATTCTAACACAATTCTCCACGGCCAGCTCAGAACATGAGTGTAGTTCTGTTTCCTCTGGTCTGATCTGAGGACACTAAAAGAAATGGCAGTGCTTGCCATGGTCTCCAATTTTGATATGGCAACACCAGGATGTTCAAATGCTTTTCTGAGTCTTTCAGATAAGTGATTGGCAAACACGGTTGAAGGTCAAAAATATTATGTTTTGTAATTAAATATTCTCATTATGAAATAGTAAGACTTTGTTCCCCCAAATTTCCTAACACGTAGTTTCTCAATCCCACAGAAACGTACTTTACAAAAATAGAAAAACACTATTTGATAGTATTCATAAAACAGCATGATGTTAACTGATTATTCTGCTTGTCTAAAAGATATGGTACCATTTCTAATTTTCCAAATCAAGGATCCATTTTAGGAATTCCTAAGCTCTTTCTCTCTCATGTTACACAATAAATAAGATGTATGTGTTACAAGAAATTACCTTTAAAAATCCTAAAAATGTATAAATGCCATAAAATGGATTTATAAATAAACTAGTGGTTTCAGTGATTTAAGTCAATGAATAAATAAAAGTGACTATTAACATTTTAATAGGAAATTTTGAAAGAAGGCTCCTAAAAGGCAATTATAGTACATTTATTTTTTATGAAAATCACATGTATTCTCAAGTATAGCTGTAAATAGGAATTATGCTCCTAAACCTGAAAAATCTCACCCAAAGCCTTAAAACAGTGTGAAAAGCCTAAATAAAGTCTCCATGATACTCAAGATAAAGTCTCTCCTGACGTTCACTACTTTCTCTAACAATGGTTCTCAACCTTGGCTGCACATTAGAACGAACTTTAAAAAAAATCCTGCAGTCCCCACGCCCCCCAGGATTCTAATGTAATTGGCCCAGGATGCAATCTGGGCCCTGGGATTTGGAAAAGCTCTCCAGGCAATTCTAACATGCAGCCGAGGTTGGAAGCTACTGTCCCAAAATCTGTGCAAGTGGCAACTCATCTACCACATCTTATCTCCTTAAGTTGAAATTTTTTTCTTTCCAAATTAAGAGCATAAATCACGGTCAAATAGTCTCTCTCTCTGAATCAATTAGAGCCAGGAACAAATTTTACTTGGTTACAGTACCACTGATTGTGTTTCACTGTTTTTCCTAATAGCTTTTATCCCATGGACCACAATATACAAACCCAAAAGGATGGAAGAATTCAGTCACCAAAGACGAAAATCCTGTAACGCATCATTTTAGCATCCTTGAGTTGCTACGCTGCTGCGAAAACTGATATTCTACTTCCAGATCAGGAACTTAAACTTAGGTTTCAATGACCTTTGGATGATTATGATATATCACAATAGGTTCATCAGTTGTACCAGATGAACCACTCTGGGGGGCTGGTGACAGCAGAGGAGGCTAGGCTGTGTAGGCATATGGGAAATCTCTGTACCTTCTCAGTTTTGCTGTGAACCTAAAACTGATCCCAACAAAGTCTTAATTTTAAAAAATTAGGTTTCATCTGACGCTTCAATGAGTACAATGGCAGCTATAACAATATGCAGGTCTCAGCATTTAAACTGAATTCTCGTTTGCCTATATTGCTGTTTATGCATGAGAGCAAGATTTGAAACAGCTAACATTCAGAAAATTGTTATTTTCTCTTTCTCTGAAAACAAAGTGCTGCTTCCAAAATAAGGACTTGATTATTAAAAAGAAAAAAATGTAACATAAAAGCAGCTGCCGAGTAGCTCTCTCCCTAAATAAAACAATGGGCTACAGTTCATATTACTTTACACTTATAAAACTTTCAACCACAGTAAAGGAGAATTCCTTTCTCACTAGTTTAGTGCATAATTTCCATAGAAGAGAAGTGGCTTAGTGGGAATCAGTAAGAAGCACTGAGTAAAAATTATAAGCTCTCATTATCTAGGCAACTATAATCACGGATTGACAAATCAGTATCTGAACAAGATAACTTTTTAAAATCAAGGTCATTTTTATAAAACTACATTATTTAAGAATTAATTGTATTGGCCAGTCCAACAAGTCGTTAAAATAGCTTATCCCCGAGGAGAAAAGAAGCTTTAAAACCTTCAGCTGAGGTGGAAAAATTGCCAAAGTGTCTTTCTGAGTCACATGCACTGACATACTCTATGAAGCAGAATTTTGACTCTACCATCGCCCAACCTCCTGACAGTATATAATCAAGGGCCTTTTACTTCCTAAGAATTTCAAAAAGTTTTTTCTTAGAATATTTATTTTTTCCAAGTAAATCACACCTTGTAAGTAATGAGTATGGAGATAAGAGAAGTGGGTTTTAACCCTTCAGTGCCACCTGAATGTATAAGAGCTGGCCTGAGCTTCAGTTAGGACAAATAAACAGAGAGCCTAGGTCCAAACCAAGATCAGGAGGCATAGAGAAACAGAAAGAAAAAGAAAGATAAGTACAAAAAGAACAATACGTGGGGTACATATCTATTAAGAAAAGTGGTATATTCAGGAATACTGCTCTGAGAAAGTTGAGTCAAGCACTATGTAAAAATACAGGAAAGTTTACAGTCAAGTCAATTATACAGAATGAACTGTATAGTTTATAGATACTTATGCTCACTTCTTACCAGTACCTCCCTGAGAAGAACAAAGAAAATCAGGGAAAAAACAAATATATTTTCCTACTTGCTAACATCACAAAAACGTTCAAACTTAAGGTAAAATGAAACTCGAGAGAGTGCCTGTCTGTCATGTTTATCTTTCACTACCTGGTCTCCCAACAATACTATAAATGTTGGTCATGACAATAAAGTATTACTAAATGATAATTCTGTGAAACTTAGATTTTTCTGGAGACAGGATGACTTTAGACAGCTGATTATTTAAGGTAAATGGTCATATTCCAAATCCAGCAACATCTAATTTAAAGGAAAGTTATTTTTCTAGGAAGTTCAGCTGTTCAGCACACAGCAGAGAATCCACACTTAAATAAAATAAGCCCTCTGAGTGGCAGACAGAGACGTCACAATGTTTAATATTAAAATTTGCACATTTTAATGCATAAGGGGGAGGTCTCTCAATTCCCCACTCAGAACCCATGTACACTACTCACAAGATTTCCTATTAGTTTCTCAGCCCACACATATCAGAAGCAATGCTAGAAGCAGGCATGTTACCAACAGGGAAAAGTTCATATGGGGTTATTAAAGCTGCTTGGGACCCAGACACATGGGAAAAACAGCCTCAAATACTCCAAAGGGAAAAGATTCTGAATGATCTGGTGTAAAGGTAAGGAAGGCAGCCTCTGAGCACATGGCAGTACACAAGCTCGTGTGCACACCACTGACCCTCTGAGCCATGGACAAGAGGTTACAGGAGCCATGCCCCAACAGAAGGGAATGTTTTAATACTTTTTACAAGCATGTTCCTTAAAAGCAATTTTAAAGCTTAAAGACATTGACAAGCAGGTTAGCCAGAAAAAAATGTATAACATTTTCAATTCCCTGATTAACAGCGGACAAATGAAATGTTACTGTCATGAGATAAGAAAAGAAAGAAACCGTAGAAGAGAGAAATTAATACGTATTTCCTATTTATGTCGTCAGGGACTTTAGTGACGCAGAGCCTCTGACATGCTGGCTTTGACATTTCTTGTACAATAATAAAGAAAGGACAGTATAAGGTTATTAAAACTGCAGCACATTTAAACCATTTTCCTTGAATAAATGAACACATATCTAAAAGAAGCTAACTTATTGTCATAATTGTGTAGTTTGCATTTACAGGATTTATAAAAAAAATTTCTAGTGATATCTGGAATGTAAGCTTAAAAACATGATGAAGATTACCCCTTGATCCTGTCAAAGTATCACTGTGATTAGATGTATAACATCATTTGGAGGTAACAGTAAAATATTAAATTTGAGGGTCTTGATGAATCTGAGGGCCCAGGACAAAAAGTGACTCTTCTATGCCCTTCCTCACTGCCATGAGAGGCTCATTACTTCTATTTTTTCACATAAACTTACCACAATATTATTGTCGTTTCTATTTTGTAGTTGAGGAAACTGGGACCAATAGGTTAAACCATTTGCTCAAAATGGCAGCCCTTTGGTAGAAAGTGCCATGATTCAGCCACAGATCGTTTGGCCTCCCAAACCCATGCCTCTCTGAGAGTCATCCTGAAGCAATCTGGATGGCACATTATGGTGTCAGACTGAAAAGTGTCCTCGTAAAAAAGACCAAGTTGCATGAAACTCCTGATACAGTAACTAGCCTGTGGTCGGTGTATAAAAAACAGTGGTCATTACTGTGAAACTCATGTTTCAGTGCACTATACCTTCATATCCCAGAGAAGTCCATGTACCAGCCATGAAAACAAATGAATTCTTGAAGGATTTATTCAACTGGTTTAATCATTGTGAAAGGAGAAATCTTCAAGAAAATGCATACACTGTGACACAGGAAATGACATTACAAATCTCTCCTTTACCAAGTTTCTAGTTACAAAAAACTACGCAGATTGGGAGGCTAAACACTCCCAATGTTAACTAAATATAGTTAAAACTTCAAATAGAATTTGTTCATTGCAAAGGGTTGTTCAAAACCTGGACGTGTTTCTCCACTGTCATTCATGCATCTGACCATTCATTCCATAGGCATTTATTGTGAGCCTGTCGGAGAGAAGGCATACTGTGTGTGTGTTTGTGGACAGCAAGCTGGGAGGGAGAGGTGAGTATTAGCTACAAGGAGGAATGAAACATTACCTGCAACTTCAAGGGATTTAAAACCCTCTGACTTGTAAGCCTAATACACTGCTGAGTGTTCTTTCATCCGTATAAATGTCTCTAGCATTTGCCCCTTTCCATCCCTCTATTTATGTCCTCTGTTTTACCAATATGCTGTTCATTGGCTTCACACTACACAAGATTGACTGTTATATTTTCTTACCATCAAGATTTTTAAAGTTTTGTGACTTTGACAAATTACCTCACCTTAAAAAGGAGCCTCAGCTTGCTTTATATGTAAAAGGGGAGAAATAAAAATTTACTGCTTAAAAGCTAAAGATTCAATCATTGGAGATATGATTTTATGAAATTGCTCCCAACACAAAATAAACATTAACATTTGCAGGTGAGTACTACTTTTTATTCCTTATTCCTTTCTTAGCTTTCTGAAAATAGACTTTGGGATCTATGGTATTTGTGAGATGATTAATACTCTTTCTCCTTAACAAAAATCTTCGGGCTTATTTAGATATCTGACTTACCTACATTATTTAGGTCTCTGATTCACCTACTTCCATCCATGCTCATCAAATCCATGCTCAACTGCTACCAGAGTGATCCAAGATGGATATGACCTATGATTCCCCCAGTTAGAACACTTCAGTGGCCATTCCTTGTAAACAATGTCCAAATGCCTTAGTGTGATTTTTCCCAATGTCGTCCGTGTTTATTTTTCCCATCTTATTTCCTGGTGCACCACCTTGAGCCCTCCAGTTAACACTTAACTGTTTGCAACTCATTGATGCATTATATTCATTCTACAGTTATTTACTGAGCATAAGTTATACATTAGCCACTGTGCTAAGCTTAGGGAATCCTGAAGTAACCAAGGCAAATGTGACCCACCTTCAGACAGCTTATAGTCTCATTTAAAAGGGTTCATACAGCTGTTTACAGCACCCTCCAGCCCCACAAATGCCTGGAGAATTTCAGAGCTGAATCTCTCTATGAAATCCCTCCTGCCTACCTGCCCTGCCCACATAGAAGAGCTGACCCTGTCAACATCCTCCATCTGCACTCATACACATTGCCATCCAAGCTTATCCAGCACTTTATTATAACAATACATGCATGAGTCTACCTCACCAAGACAGTGCACAAGCAATGACCATCTCCTATTCATCTTTGAAATGAATCAAAGGACATGGAAACAGACACTGTGAAGATCATGGCCAAGCACACAGAAACACGTAATAACCTTCTGTCTAGAAATGAAAGACTGAAGGAATTCATTATCTTTGCAAAAACCAAAAAGTTTTTCCCTTTTCAGTTTCTTCAAGTCATTCTGTAGAGTGCAAGTCCCTTAGGGTCAAGGACCATATGTTACCGGCCCTGTGCTGGGCACATACTAATCACAAAATAAGTATTTGTTGAATATATACTCTAGATATACAGTTCATAATGACTAGGCCATGGTAAGAATGTCACAATATCGTACTCAAGAGAACTGAAACCAACGCTAATCAGATTGACAAGGCCACAAGAAAATGTACCTGTGTACGGTATAAAATCCATTTTATGATTGTATAATTTGAGTCCTCAAGTCTAGTCACTGGACATATAGGCAGAGAAAGAATCATAAAACCTTAGAATGAGTCATTCTTACCACAGCCAAGATACTGTAGCTCTAGGTGACGTAAAAAGAAATGAATTTCAAATTTAGAAAATGCTATTGGTTCCTATAGTAGATAATAACAATAATAGCAAATATATACAGTGTTTTTTGCTTGCCAGGCATTGTTCACAGCATTTTACACGTACTAACTCATTAAATTCTCCTGTCAACCCTACAAGATATCTCCACTATACGCGCAAGCAAAATGAGGGGCAGGCGGGTAAAGTAATTTGCTCAGCTCATAACTGGATTTGCACCCAGGACGTCTGGCTCCAGTGTCTTTGCTCTTAACCACAAAGCTAGTCTCATTCTTTATGGTTGCATAATAATAAAAGGCCATGCAGACCCTGTGAAAGCAAACGCCTTCCTAAACGTATGTGGTATATTTCAGGAGTCCTTAACTTCTTTGTAGTATTGACTTCTATTTTATATTTGAAGTTTACAAAAAAACCCAGTATTTATAAGTGAGACAATAGAGGGAGGACAATGAAAGTTAGAGAAGGATCTGAAAGAAATTATATAAGGGCTGTTGGTCATACTGTAATACTACCTAAACAAACATATCATACATAATTAGATGGGAAAATCCACCTAAGGTACTGGTACCATGCAAAAAGACTCCTTAGAAAGTACTGAATACATTTCATCTGTAGTTCTAAATTGTATGACAGCCAGCAGAGATTAACGGCGTTGGTAGCTTCTGTAAAAATTACTTTTAAAATAATCCTTATCTATCAATCGCTACTTCATTCCCAATAATATAAACGAGGCATGGGTTCAAGCTACGGCTTTGAACAAGTCATTCATAAAAAGTAAGTAGTTAGAAACAGAATTATACCCCATTAAATACACAAACATACCATAGAGAGCCTTTGCACTTGTTCTTGAACTGTGTTCTCTGTCCATGGAAAAGGTGGGTGGTGATCCGTAGCCACTGCAAAAAAAAAAAAAAGGTCATCGTGCTGAGTTAAAGTCCAAAGTAAGCAATAAAATGTCAAAACTACAAATAAAAATTCCAGTGGACCACAATCACCATGTGTTTTTAAAGAACATATAGAGTTTATACAACCGGCTCTGTAAAATAGAGCCAGATACTGATCCAGTCAAGAAATAGGCTATTGGATCCTGACCCACCGTGGATGGAGGCTGGTACAAATGGCAACCTCTCAGGCATCAAGTCAGAACCGCAGCCAAGGGGATTCAACAAGGTTGAAGCTGCCTTAGAAGAATTTAAGTTTGCCATACTAAATTGAGCTGCGAGCAGTGATCCAATCATAAAAAGTTCTCAATCACTTAGACTGTAACGAAATAGACACTACTTTCACAAATACTTAAAATGCAGTTAATGAAAATAACACGGTATCGTTAAATTTGACCAGCTTTACCAGGTACTTCTACCTTACTGTTGCTGTTATGTGAAGTAAACATATTATTTGAATTTTTAAAATGTATTCAGTAAACATTTATTAAGCCCTAAAATCTAGAAGAATGAGGGGTAAGGCGGGGCGGGGGGAGGGTACTGTTAATAAAACAAGTAAAAAAAAAAGTTAAAAAAAGATAAATAAATAAATAAAAATAAAATAAAACAAGTAAAATGGTTACAACAGAATGTGACATCTGGGTTAAACTAATAGATATAACATCAAATAAGGACTAAATTTTTATAAGGATGCCCAAGAAGGCTTCACTGGCATTTAAGCAGAATCTAAAAGAATGGAAAGCAGCTCTAGAGGCAGGTGGAGAATTAAGTGAGGAAAAAGCATGTAGATCTGGCTCAAGAACTAGCATGACGCCCGAGGGGAAAAGCATCTAGTGGGATTGGAAGAGATGAATGACTCGAGAAGTAGGGAAGGCAAATAGAGGGCTTAAGGATTAAATTTCTATTCTCTAGATGGAGTAAATATCTTTATACTGGGAAGTAACATGATCCAAACAACTTTTTAAGAAAGATAATCCAGGAATTAATGGCAAGGTAACCAGGTGGAAAGGTGCTGCAAAAATTCAGGTAGGAGATAAAGTCCACAAATAAAGTTAGAAAAGAAAGAATAGTATGGGATAGAATCAAGAGTTCCTTAATAGAAGAAATTATAATAAATTCATGATTAAATGTTATAAGAAAAAGAAAAAATTGAGGGTGTGGCAAAACTTTCTGGCTTGAATAAATTGATGGACAAGATGAAGATAGTACTTGACATACTCCCCTGGTGTTTCTTACTGACCAACACCAAAGGGATTTGCAATCATCTTTGTAAAGAGGAAGGTGAAGCAATGTGAACAACCTGGTTCTGAAAAATGTGAATAACGTGGTTGTGAAAAATAATGAACTCTATACCATGATGGCCAATATAAAATAACAACAATATTAACCACAATATATAAGGCAATGGCCACTTAAGTCAGGGCGGTGATTTCAAATTATATCTAAAGCCATAGGGACTTGTCTCTTTTTGTTTTACACAATGGTAAATATCTCGAGAGACTGGACTAGATGACATTTAACTTTCCTCAAATGCAAATATTTTATGAATACCAAAAAAGAATGCTCCAGGGGGCGTCCCTGGTGGCGCAGTGGCTGAGAATCTGCCTGCCAATGCAGGGGACACGGGTTCGAGCCCTGGTCTGGGAAGATCCCACACGCCACGGAGCAACTGGGCCCGGTGAGCCACAGTTACTGAGACTGCGCGTCTGGAGCCTGTGCTCCGCAACAAGAGAGGCTGCAACAGTGAGAGGCCTGCGCACCGCGATGAAGAGTGGCCCCCGCTCGAGGCAACTAGAGAAAGCGCTCACACAGAAACGAAGACCCAACACTGCCATAAATAAATTAATTAAAAAAAAAAAAAGAATGCTCCAGAGAAAGTGAAAGCTATGAAGTAGAGTATGTATGCAACTATGGAAAGCAATAATACATAAAATACCAGAACAAAATGTCTCTACTAGATCACTATCATTGGGGTTGATATTACTTAACCATCTTTTTCTTAAGAGACACAGTAAACTTTTAACAATAACATATCTTAGTGTTAGAAAGAAATTATATATTGAGGAATGAACTACATAAAGAAATGAAAGAGATCTTTTCATTGAAAATACAAAACAATTAAAACCACCAAATCAAATTTAAAAAACCAAGAAATTAAATATAAAATTTCCAACTTACTTCATTTGAGATGGATACATTCCAAAACCACTGGGATGATTAGAAATATGACCATTCATTATGACTTTAATGTTCTGAAAAAAGAAAGGTACATGGATTGAAGGCATTAAAAAGGTTGAGACATCTCAGTTTTAAAGTTTTTCATTCAACAAAATATGTGTCACTTCCAGGATGATGCTAGAAATATAAAGATCTCCACCCTCAAAGAGCTCAGGCTCCAGAAGTACAGATGGACATATAAACAAAGATTAAATTGGCATTTAACATTAATATACTAACATTGTAAGCAAATATAAAAAAGAAAAATTTTAAATATAATTCTGAACCCTCTAACTACAAAAACATAATTCTATATTCCACTCAACCTCATCATTGTCAGTTTTATGAAATGTTACTTTGTTTAATGTTTCATTATGAAAGTAATGTAAGCTCATAAAATTTTAAAACTTGAGAAATATGGAAAAGCACAAAATACAAAAAAGTACAGAGGGGAAAAATATCACCCAGAGCCCTATCATTTAAAGATAACCATCAGGTGTTCCTTAAAGAACTAAAAATGGAACTACCATATGACCCAGCAATCCCACTACTGGGCATATACCCTGAGAAAACCGTAATTCAAAGAGAGTCATGTACCAAAATGTTCATTGCAGCTCTATTTACAATAGCCAGGACATGCAAGCAACCTAAGTGTCCATCAACAGATGAATGGATAAAGATGTGGCACATATATACAATGGAATATTACTCAACCATAAAAAGAAACGAAATTGAGTTATTTGTAGTGAAGTGGATGGACCTAGAGTCTGTCATACAGAGTGAAGTCAGAAAGAGAAGAACAAATACCATATGCTAACACATATATATGGAATCTAAAAAAAAAAAAAAAGGTTCTGAAGAACCTAGGGGCAGGACAGGAATAAAGACACAGACTTAAGAGACTGGACTTGAGGACACAGGGAGCGGGAAGGGTAAGCTGGGACGAAGTGAGAGAGTGGCATGGACTTACAAATACTACCAAATGTAAAACAGATAGCTAGTGGGAAGCAGCCACATAGCACAGGGAGATCAGCTCGGTGCTTTGTGACCACCTAGAGGGGTGGGATAGGGAGGGTGGGAGGGAGACGCAAGAGGGAGGGGATATGGGGATATATGTAAATGTATAGCTGATTTACTATGTTATAAAGCAGAAACTAACAAACCATTGTAAAGCAGTTATACTCCAATAAAGATGTTAAAATAAATAAATAAAAATAACCATTTAACAGTCCTGTCAATTTCCTCCAGTCTTTTTTCCTGTATCTAGTTTTCCTTCCTTCCTTCCCTCCTTCCTTCCTTCCTCCATCCCTCCCTCCCTTCCTTCCATTTTCTTATTTCCTTCTTTCAAAGCACATTTGACAACATCCTATATATACACTTGGATACACCTTTTTTTTCAAGATGGTATTCATTTACACAACTTTTACTTTTCACAAGAAAACAACTTTTTAAATTAACGCCAGAAATTTATCTTCAGAAACCATTTTTAATCTGTTTCACAAATTAAACAAATTTCCTTCAAACAAGATAAATGCAAATAAGTAAAACTTCCTTACTGCCAAATCCAACGGCCTTTTTTTTCTCCTCGACAGTACAGCTACACCTGAATTACTTCTATTCACCCCTGAACATGTGGCCCTTCCTGCTTTCTGTGGCACTAAACTATTTTGGATCTTGTCTCACTTTTCTGACTTTTGTATACATTACATTACTATGTCTTTTCAATAACTGAGAGGTAGGTAGGACATATCCCAGCTTTATTATAAGACAAAGGCAAAGAGTAGAAATATTAACAACTACTGTGTGAGTTACCTGTCAGGTACTATGATGGATCCTGGCACTACCAAGGTGATCAAAAGAGACATAGTCCTAGCTTTGGGCAAATAGTCTGGTGGGAAAAACATACATTTAGTGAATAAATATAAAATTTTAAATTGTTGTTACTATCACAAAGGGAAAATTCAGGGTCACTTGGGTGGGGTATATAATATGAGAACTTAATTCAGATTGGGAGGGCACAGAAAGCCTGCATAAAGAATATTCAAGACCTAGTAACTTCCAGTTAATTCTTTCTCATTGTTCACATTTCAATTCAATCACCGTGTCCTCAGGGAAGCATTTACTGACCTCTGTGAATAGATAAAAGCCCACCACTACCAGATACTCTCAGCACAATACACAATTTTTCAAAGTATTTACCACAGTTGTAATTTCTCATTTGTTTAAATTAATTCCTGATTCTTCACTAGACTTTAAGCTCCATAAGGGCAGAGCTGCTTTGATGACTGCTGTTTCTTAAGCAGTAAGGATAGTACAAAATATTTAATATTTGAATTAAATATTAATTCAAATAAAAAAAGAAGGAAGGAGAGTCCACATCCTACTCTTCAAAGAGTTTATTGTATTCTTAAGGAGACAAAACCAATCCATATGAAACACACAGTAAATAAGTCCCAATGTATGAGGCTCTATTTTAGACCTACTAGAGGTTCTGAGGTAGGAAAAGCAAGGCAACTGCCATAATTTTTTGAAGGGCTGGGACTTGACCTAGTTCTTAAAAAATGGATAGGATTAATAAAGGTCCTCAAAACACTCAAGTTTTTTTTTTTTAATTTATTAGTATTTTTAAATTTTATTTATTTTTGGCTGTGTTGGGTCTTCGTTGCTGCATGCGGGCGTTCTCTAGTTGTGGCGAGCGGGGGTTACTCTTCGTTGCAGAGCGCGGGCTTCTCACTGCAGTGGCTTCTCTTGTTGCAGAGCACGGGCTCCAGGAGCACTGACTTCAGTAGTTGTGGCATGCAGGCTTCAGTAGTTGTGGCACAGGCTTAGCTGCTCCGTGGCATGTGGGATCTTCCCGGACCAGGGCTCGAACCCATGTCCCCTGCATTGGCAGGCAGATTCTTAACCACTGCACCACCAGGGAAACCCAAAACACTCATTTAATTCAACCTTTCCTGAAGTCTTGTCCATATTTATTCACAGCTTAGAAGCAAATTTCCAAATTAAGGAACAAAGAAACATTGACCTCTAACCAAGTATTGCATCCATAAAATTACATTTATACTATATTATCATTTGTTTTTATTATTGTTGTTTATTTTCCTTCAATTTATACTTAGATACAATCAGTGTACAGAGGTAAACCAATTCTCTGGAGAAAAATAAACCCCTGATTTGTAGTACTTCCTGATTTCCTTGGTATAAGTATTCCCACCATGGCCCATTTCAAGCTAGCATTGGTTTAACAGCAGCTTACAAAATCCTAAATATTTCACAATTGGCTCTCACAAGTCTACAGAATCAAGAGAGAGCACATCACTGTTACATTCTGGAATTTGGGCCAGGACAGAGGCCTGGGATAACATTATGGATCTAGAGCTAAAGGTTAGGACAGAGGCTTTCACAGACGCCTGGAACTTTAACACCATTTCTGGCACTAACTAGCTGAAAGGAAGTCAATTAAGCCTCTGTCTCAATTTTCTCATCAGTAAAATACAGATAATTCTTGGTCTTTCTAGCTCACAGGGCTAGTGAAAGATCAAATGAGATAGATGTACAAGTTTCTTCTACAGTTAAAAAAAAAAAAGAAGTACTCTTTTAAAACAAGCTGGTTCATTCAGCACATAAATTAAACCCCCAGGGTTTGTAGTCGTTTTGATCTAGTTTGCATTTTAAACCCACAGCAGGTGGTTTTAGTGAAAAGAGATAGCCATAACTGGCTCATCTTTTTCATGTTTAATTCTTCATGACAGTCAAATAAATTCGGGGTTTGTTTTGCTTTAAAATAGTGATCTGTCAGAATAAGAGAATAGAATAAAAGGGAATAGAAAATGTTGATTTGCTAAACTGAATTTTAAATATAGAAACTTTTCTCTTTGGCAACCATAGTGTCATTTGTCAGAGATGCTCAGGTAGCAACATAGGTTTCAGATATTTAAACACAGTAACACAGGGCACACCTTGCAAAAGGAAACAATTACAAATGTTTTCCCCCCTTTAGCCTTTTAAGAGACATATCCAATTTATACCTATATGGACTATATGTATATATAATATAGAAGAACCATCAGTCTTACTGAGAAATTAGCTGCTTTTATTTTTATTAACTCTTAAAACAACTTAAAAACTGAGACAAAGTTTTTCTTCATTACTTTTTTTTTTTTTTTTTTTTTTTTTTGCGGTACGCAGGCCTCTCACTGTTGTGGCCTCTCCCGTTGCGGAGCACAGGCTCCGGACGCACAGGCTCAACGGACATGGCTCACGGGCCCAGCCGCTCTGCGGCATGTGGGATCCTCCCGAACCGGGGCACAAACCCGTGTCCCCTGCATCGGAAGGCGGACTCTCAACCACTGCGCCACCAGGGAAGCCCTCTTCATTACTTTTAAGGACTCACAAATTCAGTTAACTCTACTACATTAACTACTTAATTCTAAAAAAGTGTACACTAAAATCTTCATAATAGCTTCCAACAAATCTGAAATAAGAATATCAGTTTCCTTACGAAAACATTTCTTGTAAGTCATAGTTACTATAATTTTCTCCTTATTTTCTCCAGCAAATAAAGTGGTAAATTTAAGATCTCAGTTCAACATACCTAAAATGTTGAACACTGAAATTTTCAAAGGAAAATAAATAGAATGTATGAAAATCATGGTAAGCAGAAACAAATGAGGCTATATTAAGGCTAAACCAGCAAGTTAAAATTGTATTGGAAAGTTTAAGATCCCAAATATAAATAAATAAATAACAATTTATATTTCCGTTTCTTTTCTTCACTCTTGCTTGCATATGGTATCAATTTTCAAATTGATGAATGAGTTAGTCATCACGCAGTGTTAGAATCCCGTCTACCCAATCTAGCTACCACACAATGACTTGTGCTCTCAGAAAAATGTCACAGACACCTTTTTGTTTATTTAAGTTTTTGTTAGTCTGTTTGGGTGTACCTATCTTGAAGTATCTGTATTTCAATTTCAGTTTAAGTCACATCTCTGGGTCTAAGTTATAACCAAGATAGGGGTGAGGAGATTGATTA